TGTTACACACCTAATGATATAAAACCCAACTCCCTCATCACATTATTGGAAAATGTTTGAGACCTCTAAAAGCTCACACAATTCGATTTACAATTATATGGTATGATATGTATCATTTTTTGATTTGTTATACACCCAATGATGTAAACTCCAATTCTATTGCCATATCATTTTGGATGAATTTATAAGTCTTTAACATTTCTTCTAAATTTATATAAAAAAAATTTATGGTATGTAACTTTCTCAACGGATCAATATAAAACAAATACTAAGATAATTCTCTTATCTAAAAAAAAATAAAAAACAACTAAGATAATTCATTGAACTAATAAAGAAGTAAAGGAAAAGACATATACATATACAAATGACCAATTTTATTAATGAATAAATCATACTCGCATAACAAATGGCCAATTTTATTAATAAGTAAATTATTAAGTAAATTAACAATTTTTAATGATATAAAAAAATATTTTTTAGTTAACCATTTTGTTAATAAATAGTGCATTAAGTCAATTAACAATTTTTAATGATATAAAAAATATTTTTTAGTTAACCATTTTCTTAATAAATAAAGTATTAAGTCAATTAATAATTTTTAATGATATAAGAAATATTTTTCAATGAACAATTTTGATAATTTATTATTGCATAAGAGAATACCTTTTTGAAAAAATTACTCATAAATCCCATTTTAATAAATGTTGCTTTAGTTAGTCCTAAGTATTTTTTCTTAAACCATTTAATCCTTTTTACTTTTGATATGATATATGTTTTGATATATTGTATATAAAATTTACATTTCTACCCATATTGATTTCATTTTACAATCTCCCAATCTCTCCGATTGAAGTTAAATAAAATTCAAAACCCACCATTGAACAACATCATCAACATCAACATCCGAACCCTTGATTCCAGATTCCTCAGAAATCTCCTGATCAGCGAATTTGAGGATTGTGGAAGCGTCGCGGCTCGAATCGGAGGAGAATTGAGAGGGGAAAGAGTTGAGGAAGTCTTCGGAGTCGGAAGAGAGGTAGAGATCGCCGAAAGTGAAATCGAGGTCGTCGAAATTGGCGTCAAAGGGTAAGGCGAGATTGGAGAAGAAGAAGTCGAATAAAAAGGCGGAGTCAATGATCTTGTTGATGTTTGATGTTGTTGATGTTTGATGATGTTTGGAGATGTAGTTGATGTTGATGATGTTTCACAATGTTGATGATGTTTGATGATGTTGTTGAAGAAAGGACGATGTCGGTGTTGGTGGGGCTGAGACTGGGGGGAGTGTCAATGACGAGAAGCCGAAAATGGTGGGGTAGGGAAGGTCTGCAATTTCCCATTACTCTCACTCAAGACTTGAAATTACTCTTGCCAATATGATTTGCAGAAACATCACCTGGGCATCATTTTCAACTATATTCTGTGGGTATATAATTACAGATTCATTATTTTGCTCTCTCTCTCTCTGTATGACATACATACATATATTATATGTATCATTTTTTTTAGATAGATATATTATATGTATCATTGACTTGGGTTTAATTGAAGTTATTTGATTGTTTTTATCTGAGATTTTGTCAGCTGGTGGTGTGTAGTGGTGGATGTTTTTGGTTGCTCAATATGAAGGGTGATCGGTGGTGTTGGTGTAGGTGCAGAAGAGGCCTATAATAAGCTTTTTGGGTATTTTTGTCATTACAACATGAGTAAAATCCTACATTTGTCCTCCATTCAAAAAAAATTATGTGTTAAATAAATAGGTATATACGTAATTAACATTCAAATAGGACTTATTATTCTATAAAATAAAAAGCAGGACCAAATGATTTAACAAATTAAAATTTGGGATTTATTGGTGTTTTGCCCTAGTTTTTTTCCCTAATTATTGGGTTAAATTAAAACCTTATGAGCGTATTTGAAATTTGTTAAAAAATAAAAGATTTATGTTTCTAAATTGACCAAGAATGTTTGTATAATTACGAAAAAAAATCCACTCAATATATATGCCACTACTAGTAAATTATTCACAATAAAAGGACAAAATAAGAAGAAAAAAAAATAAAATTTGTTAAAAAATAAAAGATTTATGTTTCTTAATTGACCAAAAATGTTTGCATAATTACGAAAAAAAATTCACTCAACATAAATGCCACTACTAGTAAATTATTCAAAATAAAAAGAAAAAAAAAAAAAGAAAAAGAAAGAGAGAGACTAGCCATAAGCAAGATAGAAATATATTTTTTTTAATCCCTCAATATTACCCAAAATTATTGTATCAATAAATATATATGTTTTGTTTTTTTTCCCCCACATGTATGTATATATATATATATATATTTTAGAAGCTGCAGATGAGTTAAGGAGAAGAAGTTGAAAGGTTTTAGAATGGTAGGAAATGGAAGAAACAAAAAATAGACAAGTTATGTTAGGGGTTCTAAATAAATTATTAAATTTTTTATTAAATCTCTCACATTATGTAAAAGATTTAATAAAAAATTTAATAATTTATTTAGAATCTATAACACTTTTCAAAACGAAAACTAAACAAGACAAAATAAAAGTAAATAAAGGTATTTTAGCCGCTTTATATTTTACAACCAGATAGTTATTGCATTTACTTTTTTTCATGATAGTGAAGTTAGTTAGCCATAACAAAACCCTAAATTATTTTATAAAAAAAATTAATTTAATTAATTTGATACTCATGATCATATAATATTATTAAATTAAATTAAATTAAATTTTTTACATGAACAACTCACATTTATTAAAGTTAAATTCATGATAAACTCAAAAACTAAACACAACTTGGCTTCACTCCTATTGGGAAAAAAAAAATCAAATTTTAATTTATTTAAAAAACTAATTAAAAAACAAATTTAAAAAAGGTTGGATAAATTACACTCTCTATCTCCAAAAAGCTTGGTTCATTTTTTATCACCTTCAATTAGTTATTTTGCAATTTGATCCCCAAATTTATTTTTATTTTTTTTATTTTTAATTTCCCAACTTTCATCTAATTGCTAAATATCATTTTAACATATTTGCAAAATGTGACATATAGCTTAATAACCTATGTCAGTCATTTAATCTTCTTACGATGATTCTGATCACAAATCATTCTTTGTTCATTGGCAATTATTTAAAAAAATTTAAATTTTTCTAAATTTTTCTTGTTTTTTATGATTTTTCAATTTTTCATGTATTCAAAAACAAATATAATAAATAATGAGAAGTTCAAAAACTTCAATAGTTTAGAAGTGTCACTCAAAATGGGTGTTTTCAAAAGAAAAAAAAAATCAAAATAGTTTGTCCAACACATTTTCTATATTAAATTTCCCTTCCCCAACCCCCAACCCCCTGTTTCAGAGAAAATAAAACAAAAATGATTCACAACTGTTATGGTGAGTGTTGGGTGGAGAACCATGTCTTCCTCCCCGTGCCAAAGGCCTCAAAATTCTGAAGGATTTATCAAAATTTTGCAACAGCAAAGACAATGTTCAAATTGATAAGCAAAGCAAACTAGCTAAAAAAAGCAGGGAAAATAGAAGCAAGATCGTCTTAGAGCATCTCCAACGGTAGTAGGCATTTTACCTATCTAAGTATATATTTTATTTTGCCTATAACTGTTTTATGTTTTTACTCCAACCATGCTCTTTATTTTAGCTATTTATTCAAATACTATTAATTTTATAGAATGCCACATCAACAACAAAAATGGAGGGAAATGATCCTAATGATTGAATACATTTTGCCTAGCGTTGAAGGCTAGCTACATGTAGCTAGTGAATATGAGTTGAGCTAAAATGCCTAATCATATGCCTAGTGCATTGGAGTTGAAAAAAGTGAATCACACTAGGCATTTTAACTAACAAGTATTATATGCCTAGTGCATTGGAGATGCTCTTTTTTTTGTTTTTTGGTCTGTACAATCAAGACAAAACAAAAAAACAGATGAGCAAAGCAAACTAGCTAGGAAAAGCAGGGAATATAGAACCAAAACCATCTTAAGCACCAACATCCACTCCTGATGAAGATGGACTGGAGCCAATGCTCTCCCAAGGAGTCTCACCCTAAACGCCCTCGTTGCCCAGCTCATGAGCAGCGGCCTACAAAAGACATGAGGAACTTGTTTGAAGGCAGCTTTGACTACCATAACCAGAAAAATTCATTTCCTAATTTGTTCAAGTGACCTACCAATTCAACTAGAAATCAGTAACAATCAACAATGTCTAACTTCAGCAGCATCCTGGCTCTGCAGATGCACATCCTCAATCCAATCTTGTTGGACCAAAGGCTTTTATTTTTTATTTTTTGGACTAAATTCACAAAAAAACAAAATAAGTTAAAATAGCCAAATAAAATATTACATCAAACTCATAATCATTTCATTTTTTTTCTCACAAACATCACATCCAATTAAAAAAAATCTAACCCTCTTCCCAATCACAAATATTTTAATCTAAGAAGCATGGACACGGACACGTGACACGACACGGATACGACATGGACACGCCGACACGATAATTTTCAAAAAATGTAGGACACGATACGTGGGGGACACGCATGAAATATATAATTTTATATATTTATTATATGTTATATATATGAATATATCATTCAAAAATAATAAAAAAATGCAATATGACATTAATCCCTATAAATTTATATAATTTTTGTTTTATTATTGTATCTTAAGTTGTTTTGTTCAAACTTATAATTAGTTTCACATGTGTCTAATTGATAGACATGTGTGTTTAAGAGATGTACACGTGTGTCCTCCAAGTGTCCAAAGATTGTCCGGGTCTTTAAAAGATAGGACACGTTATAAAGAGTTTTGGACACGTGTCGGGAAAGTGTCCAAAGAGTGTCGGTGTCTGACACGGACACGACACGGATACGTTACCTTTTTTGAAGTGTCCGTGCTTCTTAGATTTTAATCTACTAAAATAGTTAAAAACTAAAAAACCTACTAAAATAGCCAACATCCCAAACGCGGCCAATGCACAAGCAACTGCAGCAAAACCTTGGCAACTTCAATTCTTTTATGACACTTGTTGTTTTATGTTACAAAACTTCGGCATTCAAAAAAATGATTATTCAAACACTCAAAAATCCCAAATGGGTTTTTTAGCAAAAGAAAATTACAGATGGCTTGACGGAAAGAATGGCACTTCATGTGTATAATAGTTGTTGATTTCGACTGTTCGAAAGTTTCAATTTGGATAATCAGAGACTGCTATCTGCAATTGGGACTCGGACACATACTGTCTGATGAAAGCTCTTCTCCACCAAACTTCAAATGCTCTCTGAATATTGGGACAGTCATCTCCTTTATTTAGAAACCGATCAAACCAATTAAGCAAGATCGCCTGTTGTTGTGGCAACGGCAGAGTAAGAATTGTCTGGCTCAATCCATCCTCGACCAATTTCTTATCCATGGATCTACATGCCCTCCTCATCCACGCAAAATCCTCATAAAGAGCTTCTAACCATGTAGACAGCAAAGAATACCGAATATCTTTCGGCACCAAAATGTGTCCTCTCCCAATTGCAATACATAGTTGCGCTGTAATCCTGCTGATTTCATGCCGGTACATAGTGGGAATTTTTGAATGGAGAATAGCAAGCTCCGTCTGATCCGCCCATAATTTCACACATTCATCCCCCATTTTTTTTTGAATTAGGATATCGACTATCCACTGCATGTTATCGGCTTCTCGAGCTATCTCACCCATTAGAACCCCTCGGTCCCGCCTGCTTTCATCAATGCATGTAGCTTCAGATAAGCAAAGTACAAGAGAACTCAAACATCCATGGCAGAGATGATAAAGTGTATCTTTAGAGACATCAAGCCTGTTACTGTAATTGCTGTGGTTGGATGTGTCTTCCCTAAGCAGTCGAGAAATTAGAGTTTTCATTTCCCGTCGGGCTTTATCATCCTTGGCCTGTAAAACACCAGTCAACAGTTTCAAGAAGATATCATCAGCTCTTGAGGATGTTGACGGTTCAGATGATACTCTCTGCAGAACTTCTGGAGCAGAGTCGTGGAGCTGAAGTTGAGTGAGGTGAGATATCACTTTCTCCTCTTCTTCTTCAGACCAAGGAACCGCCTCCAAATACTCTAAGCATGACATTATCCCAGCATCAAACATGACAGCAGAAGATACCTGCAACAGGACACTATTAGGAATCCGTAACACCTAACCAAGATCGGTGAGACATGAAAGCAAAGAAGGACAAATGCATAAAAGTAAGGCTAAGTCTACTGTCGTTACGGTTTCACTATGATCAGAAAGGTTACACAAGATACAGCGATAACCCCCAACTACGTTAAGAAACATTTCACAGAGCAGAAAAAAGTGAGTAAATCAAGACAGACATTTTTATCCCTAAATTAAACAGTAACAAGTAGTAGGACAAGTTTGAAATAATTCATCAAATAAAACATCTCTCCACTGTTTTGCCAAAAATGATGAATCTGTTTTATGGTGTTTTCTGTTTCTAAACAGAGATCAGCTTGACCAAGCCAAATTTTTGTGTCATACTCAAATCATGCGGAGGCTTCTGTTTTTGGTTGTGGTCCTGAACAATCAGAAACCAACATTCAAATTTCTATTTGTCTTCTTCTCTCTTTTCCCCCCCTACAGTTTCTTAGCAACCAAACAACACCATTTCAACACGTTCTATAGTATTTTCTGTAGAAAACAAAAATCAGAACTTCACATAGTTCCAAGTAAATAGCAATCCTAGCCAAGCCCAATTACCACAGTCAAAGTACACAAATATCCCAAGAAATGTCAAGTCAAAAAACATAAACAAATCAAAGAAAGCAAAAAGCACAACAACATACCTTCAACAAAGCCAAAACCTTAGAAACATCCTCACCCATCAACCTCCTCTTCAAATCATCACAGTACATCAACACCACAGCCTCCACATACGCATCCACATCATCACAATCACAAATCTCCACCGTATGCGACACCGCCGCCGCACCGTCCCGCCGCGACAACTTCTCGGCGAAAAACCGACTCCGATCAGCCAGCACCCTTCGATGCACATCCATCGAAACCCTAAACCCATCACGACCTGCGATCGTGAGCTTCACGTCCCCAAAGCCGCCCCAATTGACCGGGTTCCGAAATGGCGCCGTTTCCAGGATCATAGAAACCCTTTCGCGGAGATTGTGCCGAGCCTCGATGGATTGCTTCGATTCCCGGGTCTGCTCCTCTGACATCATCTCGTAGAGGGTCGGGCGGGTCGGGGCGGAGGAGTCGGAGAAGGAGGGCGGAGGAGAGAGAATTTGGGACGGAGAGAGAGAAACCCTAGAGGGAGGAGAGAGAAGGGGACGGGAAGGAGGAGAGAGAAAAGTGTCGGAGATGAAGCCTTGCTTGATCATTGTTGAGACTTCTTTGGACTTTTTGTATGGGTTGTGGTTCTCGGTCGCCATTGTTGAAGCTCAGTTTGAGCAGAGAGTGAGAGAGAGAGAGAGGGAGAGAGAGAGAATCCAAGAAAAGCAAGAAGCATTCAAGAAGAGAAGAGAGCTTTAGATCTGAAAGTGTTTTTGAGGGGAAAAGCGTAACTGTGTCAGTGGAAGTGAAACAGTGATTTTATTTATTTATTTTTTAATTATTAGTTAACTGTACCTACAAATTTAACGATAAAAACAGATCATTAAAAATTGGCGGCAGATATTTTACGTAAAATAAATGCTATGCAATGGGACCATTTTCTAGTTTAAAAAAATAAATAAATAAAAATGGAGGCATGTGAGAACATAATAAGGCTAAGTTTGGGTAATCCCAAAAAAGTCAAAAAGTTAAAAAGTTAATACTATTCATCAAAAGTCAACAATTACGGCTGCACAACTCCCAATTCAAATTTTTTCCTACAAATCAATTTTTACAATTTTTTATTACACATTTTTCAATAAAAAGTCAAAAAGTTAACCTAAACATCCATATTTTCAACCTCAATTTTTTAGTTCAAAAAGACAAAAAGTGCACTTATTTAGTCTTCCCAAACTTGGCCTAAATAAAAATAAAAAAAAAAGTTAGAAGGCAATTTTTAATTTATTTTAAGATTATTCTTTACATAAAAAATTAAAAAAATCAATTTATAACCATCTTTTCAAAATATTTCAATAATACTATTGTGATAATTGTCTTCTTAAAATTTAAATTACATTCATAAATCTTTATTTTAAAGAATAAAATACAAAATTATTATATCATTTATATAAAAAAAAAAAATCTCTTACTCATAGAGTAATGATTCATCCCCCTTTTCCCCCACCCCCTTTGACCCCCTCTCTCTCTCTCATTGGTTACCTTTTCTTTTTCTTTTTCTTTTTTTTCCTGCTCCTCCAATCACTCCCTGCCACGTAGCAAAGGGGGTGAGGGGGTGACCCCCAAAAGGGGGTCCCAAGCATTATTCTTACTGATATGGCATATAGAACAAACTTGCCACTTCATTTGTTCTATCAACTCCACCCCCATCATTGCCATCTCTGCCTGAGTCCATCTCTCCCAAAGTTATTGAGGTATTTTAAATGTTATTTGTTAGTGCTCGTTTGGCATAAAAAAGTTAAAAATTTTTTAATTAAAATAGTTACAAAAAAATAAAATAAATTTTTTAGTCTAATAAGACAAAATATCACATTCAATTTATAATTATTTCATTTTTTTCTCATAAAAGTCAAAAAAGTCAAAAAACCTATCACAAACGAGACTTTTTAGCCCCGAACTAAAATCGTCAAAAAGCCAAAAAACCAAAAAACAAATCATATCCCAAACGAACCCTTAATAGTTTTTATGATTTTAATGTAAATTTATATTGTTTTAAAAAATAATGTCAAAATTTCAATTTTTATAAAACAAAATAAGATTAATATTGTTTGCATTACTAAGACCAAACATAACTAGTTTCACAAAGGGAGAAGCTTGCCTTCGATCTTTAATCAGATTAGATGGTGTTGTTCGGCTCGTGGAAATTCACCACGGATCGTATTTTGATAATCTGAACCGTTCAATGTGTAAAACTCGTAGAGTGCTATATACTTGTAAAATATCACGTTGATCAGATATCGATAGCTGTGTGATCAAATCGGATATCGATTTCCGATCAACATAATTTTTTACAGGCATATAATGCTTAATGAATTCTACATATTGAACGATTCAGATGATCAAAACGAGACCCGTAGTAGATCCTCACAGGCCAAATAATATCATCTAATCTGATTAAGAACCGGAGAAAAACTGTTCCCTTTAAAAAAAATTTACTCCATCGTTAAATCAACCTTTCACGTTGCCACCTTGGCACTCCCACCCTAACTCCTTCCTTGCTTGCCCCCATTTCCTCACAAATCTTAGTTTCACCACCCCTATTGTTGTCCTCCCTAGTTTCATCACTCCTATTGTTATTTTATGGAAAATTTTAATATACACACTCTTGAAAAGATATACTATATGTATTTCTAATTATATATTTTTTTTTTAGTTATAATATTATTTTAGTTATGATTAATGAGATATTTAGTAATACCTCATATTGTGTTTAGTTATAATTTAAAAATAAGAAATTATATAATTATTTTCTTTAATTATAAAGTACATATGATACATACCTTTTGAAAAATATATACCATAATATTTCCTCTATTCTTGATCTTCCACCCAAACACTATCCTCCTCTGTGGTGGTGAAAGAGATGAAAAAGAAGAGAATAAACGTAGACATAAAAGACCCTAGAAATTAGAATTACGAGAGTGTAGAGAGTCCGATGAAATTTTAATTTTTTTTAAAGAGATGTAAAGAGAAGATGGGAGTACAAGTGGCCAACATTATTATTTAAATAGAAGCTCCCATCATTTCTATCAATGAAAACTGATACTAAAAAATCTAAAAGAATATTCCTATAACTTTTCAGCAACCTTAAGGATGTTATCGTAATTCTATTTTTTATAAATAAAATATGTTGATTAATTAAATGAATAGATCTAGAAATTAGAACTACAATAGAGTAGACAGTTCAATGAAAATTTACATATTTTTAAGAAGATACAAAGAGAAGATGGGGTATAAGTGGTCGACATTATTATTTAAATAGCAGCTCCCATCATTTCTATCAATGAAATCTAATACTAAAAAATCTAAAAGAATATTCCTAAAACTTTTCACCAACCTTTAAGGATGTTATCGTAATTCTACTTTTTATAAATAAAATATGCTGATTAATTAAATGAATACAACCACTTTATAATATGCATACACTTGTCAAAAAAAAAAAAAAGATTTTGAAGATAAAGATAATGGTTGAGATTCCCCAACCAAAAACAAATAAATAGTTATGAATGAAAAGAATTTTAATAATATTAGTAGTTCATTAATGGAACACATTTGACGATGCCCTTTGATTTTTAGTTATGTTGTCTATCAATTTTGCTATGCTTAAGAAAATGAAAAATGCTATTACTAAATAATACAACTGATTGTTTTGACCATTTAGGAAAAAAATAAATAAATTAACTTATAATTTTTGTCATAGGCTTGCATTCAAGTAAAGGAAATAGAAACAAAATTACATTCATAATGATAAGACTTGAACACAGCATCTAATCTCATCTGGTAAAGGAGCATTCTTCATTGCTTTTGTTACACTCACCATTATTACTGAATAGCATATAATCTATGCCTAGACTTTCTTGTTCTTTTATAGCTTTCTATCCATATCATAAATGAAGATTTCTTACAACAATTTAAATGGAGAGTAACTGTAGGAAGCATAATCATTACTCAGAGGAATAGTTTAGTGAACAGCATCAAAGTGTAAAGATCAACAAATTATTGTCCAGTGGTGTTTTAAAGAGTCAAAAACACTACACAAAAAAGCATTCTTTTATCTGCAAAACTACAACATTTATGGGCCATCTTTTTCTTTTTATGGGGTCACTGTCCAATGCAATGACACTCCTCAAAGTGCACTAAAAGCACAATATTATGTTTTCTATTTTCAAAGTCTGATTTCACCGCACAATATATCCTTTTTTTTAAAATTTCTGTCATACAATTAGGTATAATTTAGTTCCTAGCAATATATAATAATGTTTTTTTCTTGCTAAAGAGACAAACAAACAAGCCAGGGACCACCATGGGCAGTGTTTGTCTTTTTCAAACAGTATGTTGATTAGGGGTGAGCATGGTCCGGATTGGACTGGATTGGGATAAAACCAAGACCAATCCGTTATTTACGGTTCCTAAAAAATTGGAACCAATCCAATCCGTTTAAATCATGGAACCAATCCGAACCAATCCATTTAAATACGGATTGGATCGGTTTAGGACCACGGATTCACATAATTAAATAACAAAAATATATATATAACACTTGAATTTCATAAAAATATAAACATAGCGCTATGTTAGTTCCATAATAGCAACATGTTTTTCTATAATAACGACATACTGTTCTAGAATTTAAACAACCATAAGAAAACTGGTTTCACCATAAGTATTTAGACCATTGCAAATTAAAACTTAAAACTAACAAACAAAAGTAATAAAAGAAGATATTATACGATTTTAGGTTTGAGTTTAGATTTTACATAGAATAAGAAAAGATACTATGGGGGAGGATGTATAATAAAAATATAGACTATTTGTATACGGTCCGGATCGGTTCCAATCCGGAACCGTGGGATTCAATCCGGAACCAATCCGTGAACTACGGATTTTTAATTATTCAATCCGGAACCGAACCACGGATTCAAAAAATCAATCCAAACCTATCGGATTGGACTGGGCTGGATCAGATTACGAATTTCACGGATTCCTTACTCAGCCCTAATGTTGATGGGTAGTTGTGGACAGTATTAAATTCATTTGTATAGTTCAATTATAGTAAACCTACTTTCAACCATTGACAAAAAGGATATTTTCTCTAGTTGTTTTTGGTTTGTTCACATGTAACATTTTACTCTATTCTTATTTTTCGTTGTTCAAATAATCATTCATATTATTTAGGCAAGAACCATCACTTTATACAGAAAATTAGGTAATTATTAGTCCATGAAGTCCTGTCTATCGGATCAAAACATTAGGAAATCTAAAAGAGAAGTAGAGAAAATATTTAAGTATTGCTCAACTCAAACTTTTATTTGGGAATCGAAGTTATAAGATGTATTTTGTGCACCCAAAAAGAAAAGAAAATAAAGTCCGGATTCTATTGTTGAGTGATGCAATTTTCCATCCCTTATTCTTCTCCTATTAATTTTTATTTTTATTTTTATTTTTAAATAAGACATATTTCTTTGATGAGGTTTACTTCGATTACCAAATGTTGAGCTATTTCTTCATAGTCCACTTAAGATTTAAGACCTTCTAAAGTTCTGACATGATGGTTACAAGTCTGTTGATAAGCAGCAACCAAGAATTCATCCATTTCCAAAGTTTAGAGAGAGAGAGAGAGAGAGAGAGAGAGAGAGGTTGAATCAATGAACTGGTTTTATTTACAAAACTTACAAGTATCAATGAACATGCACTAGAAAACATCAAAACACACATACAACAACTCAAACAATGTAAACCGTTCCCAGGCTGAGCTCTGGACACAAATGCAGCAAGCGAAAAACAAATGCCACCGGTGAAATTCCAACTCACTGATCAGGAAAATCTCTCTTCGAGTCCTATCATTATGTGCCCTGAACCAGAGATGAAATTTCGATTTCCAAATTCTGTAACATACCAAGTATTAGAAAGAGAAGGAAATTGTAATTCTCCTTGTAAAAGAGACCCAGAATTATAAAGGAAATAACAAAGTGGTAACACAGACCTTTTAGAAAATATTTGCTAGTAAATCTTCTAGCTCAGGATCAACTACTTCATTTTCTTCTTCAGTCCCTAAGAGAGGAACATCGAGCTTTGGCGGTTTCTACAGATTAGATGCATACATATTTGTTAGCTTAAGAATCTCTAAATTCAAGAAAAAAACACTAGAGTTGATCTATATACAGAACACAAGTTCTCTGAATTCCCGACCTGCTCACCAGAATCAAATACTCCCTTTAAATATGACTTCAAAATTAGATTACACGAGGCAAGGTTACTGATTTTACCATGCAACGAACTAAAGCCCAGTTGATACCCTTGAAGAAAGGATGTCGCTTGATTTCATTCGCTCCTTGGCGTGAACCCAATCTGCTTTTGGGATCTCTGTGCAACAACCGATACATTAACTCCTTTCCAGAGAGACTCACCTGCACCAGTAGAAAAAAGTTATTCCTGTGCCGCATCATTTGAAATTGTGAAGGGAAAAAAAAAAAAGCAATGAGAAATTCTCATTAATCCCATCAAATTGGACTCTAGCAATAATTTATCCATCAAATTTATACTGTGGTTTTAGTACTTTTTGCCTTAATCTTATACATATTGTTAGACGAGGAATAAATAAACCAAAACCAATTTCAGGAAAGTGCAAGAATGTCATGTCATTACAATTTGGAAGGTACTTGAATGAATATAGAAGATATCTAACCGATGCAAAGGCTGGGAATTTAAGATCCTTATGAAGAATGTTGGCAAATGTCTTTTGCCTCGTTTTCCCCCTAAATGGTGTGAATCCGTACAGCATTTCATAGAGCAGAATGCCTGTTGAAGTAACCAACAGTCAAGCAGCAAATAAAGTACGTGAATTTATACTCAAATAACATAAAAAGGATTAAAAAGGTAAGGAAAGAAACAAAGTAGATTGTATGAAGTGGAAACTGTAGTACAAAGCATGTAACGTTGGTCATTAAAACATCCATTTTTCCGTAGTACAAAAGATCTTCATGTTGGTCATATTGACAATATATAGAGTAATTTCTTAATCACGAAGATGAAAATAGAATTTCGGGCAACTTGAAATGATAAAAATGGGATAACACGAGAAGTCATGATTTGAATTGAAGAGTTGGAGCAATTCAGACTTGTTTTTGCCAATTTTCAATAGTCCGGATAATCACTTTGGACAGATCAGTACCTACTAAAGGAAATTTATCAATTTTTGTATTTTATTATCCGTGATTTCTTAATTGAAACAAATAATTTAATGATGTCTGGTTTTATTAGAAGAATACAAAATTACCAAGTGCCCACCAGTCCACTGCACTAGTGTGGCCCGCTCCTGATATGATTTCCTGCACATATGAAAACAACGGTCATTCCGAACTAGAAAATTTTGAAAAGGAAAAAAAAGTGAAAAAAATAAATAAATAAATAAAAAGCACAAAACATGAAGATATTTTGAGAGCTAAGTTGTAAATATATGGAACCATATAATACTGAATCTAGTGTTCTTGGATGCAAAAACATAAGCATACCGGAGCTATATATTCTTCAGTTCCAACAAAAGAATTTGATGGCCTCACTGGCTCAGCCATAAAAATTGGAGATTGTTGTTGACCTTTCTTACGTTTTTTCTTTTCATTCGTATTTGGAATCAAAAGCTGCACAAAGCTCAACAAACCAAATAGAACTTTGTGATTGGTACTCCAAATTGCATAAACAATAGAGGTAGGGGATTGAAATTTTGACGCACCTGGGGCTTGCAAGATGTCAAGCAAGACAAGTCAAAATCTGTCAAGGACACGTGGCCATTGCTCTGAAGTACAATATTTTCAGGCTTTAAATCCCTGTAAATTATACCTGTAGGAATAACATCAAGCATGTAATGAAGGACAGAGGATTAAATTAGAGCACGCTTGAAAATAGCTTCATAAACTCAAATATATAAGTGTAATTTTCTAAATGACGGAAAAATATGTACATAATGGTTACAAGAACTACCTTGACAGTGCAGGTACTCCAATGCAACAACTACTTCTGCAGCGTAGAATCTACAAATGTTGGTTTTATGTCATTACAACTAATTAAAAGCCAAATTTAAAAATAAAAATTCATATGGCGCACGCACCTTATATTTTGTATCTGACTGAGTAATATATGTACATACACACATTGTATTTATTTATTTTTACCTGACAGCATGTTCCTTCAAGACCTTCTTTGGTTGTCTGTCTAAAAGCATGAACAACTCTCCCCCGGCAAAGTAATCAGTTATCAGACAGACATGTGTTTTGGTCTGCAAATTATTATCATTTCATATTTTAATATCCAAACAGACAAATCAAATTATTCAATATAAGACAATTGGATGACATTTAAGTGCATATTTTTCTATTGTGGTAGAATTTTCAGTGAGATTTGCGGGACTAAGTTCTTTAACCTTTTTTGTTTTTTCCTGCAGGTTATGGCAGTTCCCTTGAGTTATCATTTGTTCAAAATAATATTGCACAAAACCAGGTTTGCATCAAATTGTCTAACCTGAAATGAAGCATACAATGCTGGGAGAAAAGGGTGGTCCAACATGTCCAAGATTTCTCTTTCCGCACAAGCTCTATGCACCTGCAACAACGAAGAAAAAAAAAAAAAAAAGGAATCATGTGAAAATAATGACAGACTGCAATCTCAGAAAATTATAACTTATTAAATTTAGGAAGGTGTCACATAAGCATACACACACAAGGACGATCTTATTATTTGCCCAGATCAAACAATAAGACTATGGAACAGAAATAGTTCATGTGAAAACTAGAAGTTGCATTAGAACTCAATTATGTATGTGACAAGGTGGATTATTTAAAGTCGAAGACAGAGTAGCTATAATAATATTTCCATTAAAACCATAGGATCTATTGGAGCTTGTTGAGCTGCTAACAAATATTGCGAGTAAAGTTGATGCAACAGTTCATTTTCACTACCTTGTTGCGGTTGAGCATAACCCCCTTATCCATAGCTTTCATGGCGAAGTATTCGCCAGTTCCACACAATTCCACCAAATGCACACTGTCACATAGTTTGAGTTATTGTCTTAATTTACCACACAAAGTATGAGATTTGACACTAGCTTCAAAAGCAAGTTGATAATGCCAAGTCCTTCAAAGAAAGACGTTAAAGAAGGATTGTGATGACCAAACACATTCTTGAGCTAGTTTGCTTGCTGCATTTTTTCTTTTCTTTTTTTCCCAATGGTGCAAAGAATCTAATAAATGCAAAATTGATAAGAACACAATCAATCCATCCAAATTGAGAGAATGCAAATTAAGAACAACCGACAAACCTGCCAGTATCACCAGATCCCAAGGGCTTTATTGGCCTAAAATGTGTCAAGCCTATCTGTTCTCCACTATCCACAATCTGTAACTCATAAACCGCAAGAAATTGAAGAGATAACACCATGAATGTACACAAAGAACTACATCATCAAAAACCCATATTTTTAAGGGTGAACCCTACATTTCAGTTAATTAATTAATTTTGCTTGAAGTATAGAGAGGCACATAGATATTGGAAGTATTATACCTGTTAAAATTCACCTACTACACACCTACCACTACCACCTACTACACACTCACCTACTTCACCTACTCTCCACCTACTCCTCACCTACTCCATACCTACTACACACTCACCTATTCTCTTCCCACATCCTCTCTTTTATATATAAGAATCATTGTAATATATCAAAATATAAATCAATAATACATCTATTTTTACATGGTATTAGAGCAGGTTTAGAACCTAGTATTTTCGCTTCCCCGGTGGGCGGCAACCTCACCTTAGCCGCCCGCCGGACCTCAACCTATTCCGCTGTCATCTCTATCACACCCATCACTAAATATATCTTATATTTTCCAGCCATAGCAGCCAATCGATGAACTTCAGGTCCAGGCACATCAATGGTTGCAGTATGATACTTCCGGATTCTTTGGTTAGTACAACTGCTTCTCCTTCAGCCGGGTTGAGTTCATCCCACGCTTCAATCCATGTGACCATGGCGTCGGCCAGCTTGAGGAAGTACTCATCCACCTTTCCGAGCTTTGCCTTGACTTGCTTGGAGAGCTCAATGTAACATTTCTGCACGGTGGTGCAGTCCTTTGGAAGGGCAGCACACTTGCTGCACCTATACCAAACTTTTTCATCTGAGGGGGTAGTTGCAACGAGTGGTGGTTGACTCTACACCATCACTCCATTTAAACACCTCTCAACACAGTCTCTCCTCCAACTGAATTGTAGAGAGAGGGAGAGAAGAGAGTAGAGAGAGCAGAATTCATGAAACCGAACCAGAGAAGAAAAATGGCCTGGCGCTAGTGTGCGCTGCAGTCTTTCCCTCTTTCTCTCTCTTGTTTGGAGACGGTGAAGCAGAGCACATGGGTTTTGTCCCCCTCTTTTCCTTTATTTATTTTATTTGGAGTTGTATAATGCTCAAGTAATGAGTACCAGACAAAGCTGGTATCAACTACACATAAACCACTACACCACCGCCCTCAACATTACCTTTATTTATTTTATTTTATCTTCTCTTTTTCATTCCAAAAAAAAAAAAAAAACCACGTGAACCACTTTCCTTATTTCCCCAATCTCTTCCGTTTGATTTCAAAATCAATTATTTTTATTTATTTTCTCCAAACCACTTTTCCTCTCTTTCAAATATCCACTCTATAATAATATCTCTTTCTCAAATAACCCATCCAAAAATATTTTTTTTTATCTATTTTTATTTTCTTTTATTTTTATTATTAAACAACACAAAATAACACCAACAACATTCCACAACCTTGTCATTTCTTCATGCTGGGGATCCACCCCGATCACAAAAAAAAAAACAAAAACAAAAACAAAAACAAAAAAAACAAAAACAAAAACAAAAAAACAAGACCACACAACCAAAACCCAAACAACCACATCCACAGGCGGCATTTTTCTTCTCTACTGTGCCGCAGGTCTCTTCTTCTTGCCTCCGTCCTGGGCGGCCCTTGCCGGTGTTGCCTCCATGTTTCCCACTCCACTGGGCACGATCACTACTCCCTGCTCCTCCACTGCAGCATATGGCGGCCCTCCAAATCGGAACATCACGGTGGCCTTCCGCTTCAGCTCCTTGATTTAGCTACATGTACTAAGGCCTCGTTTGGGAACAGGCTATTTTAGTAATTTTTTGACTTTTTGACTAAAATATAAGGTAAAAAAAACTAGTATGTTTGGGGTGACTTTTTGACTTTTTACGAAAATATGTGCAAAAAGTAGAGAGAAAAATGAATCTTTGACTTTTTGGTATAGATTATAGGCTTTTTGGCTTTTTTGCTGTTTTAATAACTTTTTGGCTTTTAGGCTAAAACAGCTACTTGCCAAACGAGTCCTAAATCTAGTATTTTACACTCTACAGTCATTTGCATAGTATGTGAATGCAGTTAATTCTTACTTTTTTTTATCTATTTAGCTTCTATGTATTCTTTTTCAGATAGTTCACATTGTGGCACCAAGTATATTATTTGGCGATATTCTTTTGCGTTAAAGTTGTTTGCAACTGTAATTTTATTGATCTCCTAAAATTGAAGTGTAGTGGCCAGGGTCACATGATTCTATAATCCATATAAAACTGAATTTCTAAGGTCATGTCCACATGTCCAGACATACACACCTACACACCCATGGGGCAAGAACCACAACCAAAAACACAGACAATAATGCTCAATCCATAGTATTTGAGCCATAGAACTTCAGAGAATATATATATATATATATATCTGTCCCAAACCCCATCCAACGGGGACTAAACTGAGCACTTTTTTTTAATATTTTTTTCTCCCGATGTTAAACTTCGTATGATGCAAAATGTGTGTTTCTAAGACAGTTGTACTCATTAATATGCACTTCCGCCACATAAGCTCCTATTATTTTTTCCCAAAAAAATAGTAACTATTAGAGGTCGTGACTTGGCATAAAGAAAGAGTGAGAATCAAGAGTGAGGCAACAGCACATGGAGAGGAATAAAGTGTGTTTTCAAAAAGGATGAGAGAGAGAGAGAGAGAGAGAGAGAAAGAGAGAGTGGGTGGAGTAAAAATATTAAAAATGTTTTGCCTCATTAGAAAAAGAAGTGAGTGGGTGATATGATATGAAGAAGGTGGGTCTGGTGGAGAGAAAGGGATGCGCCTGGGGACTTGACCAGTGAGGGTCACGACACAGCCCACACTGTAATGGTGGCGTGCCCGTACTTCTCTCTGGGCACTGTGCATTACTAGTAGCCATATCAGAACTGAGCTAAAAACTCCATAAACTGCCGCATGGGTCAGACGCTCTCCACAAAAAAAGTGGAGGTAAGGCTGCCTACCTACTACCTCTCCTAGAAACTGTTGTAAGCTGGAGACATGTGCACTGGGTACGACCATATGACCTTTAAATGAAAAGTACGATATATCATATATGGCCTCAAGATCTAAAAATTCCGTTACTCCTGTGCATATGTTATATTTTAGTTTCTGTCAAGTCTATTCAAAATTAAATTCTATCTTCTGTTGGCAGGGAGATGAAGTCTTAGCAGTTAATGGGGTGGATATCAGGGGAAAATCTGCCTTCGAAGTATCGTCTATGTTACAAGGTCCTAATGAAACGTTTGTGGCTGTTAAGGTTCAGATTCTGCACCAATTACATATTGGAGTGTTGATTTTCTTAATTATTTTAATGTGACATTCCAGTGTTGGATCATTGACATTTTTTAGGTAAAGCATGGAAATTGTGGACCTGTGCAATCTATTGAAGTTCAAAGGCAACTTGTTGCTCGGACCCCAGTTCTTTATCGATTGGAACAAATAGATAGTGGTGATACTTCTGTTGGTTATGTGCGCCTAAAGGAGTTCAATGCATTGGCGAGGAAAGATCTGCTTATAGGTACATGTTCATTTAAGTATACCGAAAGATCATCATTTTGTTGCAGAATTACATTGTTGCATTGAAGTTTGCTACTTTTTGGTAAAAGGAGATGTTGTATTAATATTGTATGCCCATCAGAATTAAATAGCATAAACTCCAGATCGATGGGTTCTAAGTTATTATTTTACTGACGCTCCTGTTCTCTGGCCTGTTTTGTTTCTTTGTTTTAATCTTCTTCTTCTTCTTCTGTTAAGTTCTTTGATCTAATTTTCATTGTGTTGTCACTTCCATTTTGACCATTGCTCGCTGAGTTCTTATGCATTATGCTTGGTCCCTTTCCTATTTGTTTCTAGGCAACTGATGTCTTTTCTATTTTTTATTTCTTTATTTTTCGTTCCACTTTTATCTTCAATTGTGATTTGTGTTAGATTTGTTAATTATACATGGGAGCAGCACCAAGTTCGGCAGTAGACCTATTTGAAGTTGTTCAAGTAAGCAACTAGCAAGCAGAGTGGCCACTAGTAGTAGATTGTGACAAAGTGACTTTGTCACCTGGTTTTCAGCATTCTGAGTTTTTAATTTAATTCTGGATGATGTAAAATTAATTATTTTAGAACGCGCTACAAGACGATGCTACAAATCAGATGCCTTGATATTTCATGTTTATTAATCAGAATTTTGATCTAACAACAATATGTTGCTGGGTCCAACATATTTGTTCTATACGATTGTGGTCAGATGATCAGTAGTTTCCTTCATGTAGGAGGAACCAAGCTCATGTTTGGGAAGAGTAGTTTTCTAAGGAATGCAATTAACATTGTCAATTAACAATAACAATACTGATATTTACATCAAATATTATTCAGTGATAAACAGTGTTTTGGACAGGGGGGTATCAGTGGTTGAGATTCAAGACTGTAACCATGCTTCAATCTGTAAGATAAATTGATAGAGAGAGAATAAATTGTATGTATTATTATTGATTGATATAATGTTATATTTATGTAAGATAAATTGATAGAGAGAGAATAAATTGTATGTATTATTATTGATTGATATAATGTTATATTTATTACAATGATTCATGATTCCTATATATAGAAGAGGGTGAGTGTGTAGTAGGTAAGGAGTAGGTGAAGTGGAGGTGGTAGTGGTGTAGTGGGTTAGGTTTAGTGGAGTAGGTGAGGTGGTAGTGGTGTAGTGGGTTAGGTTTAGTGGAGTAGGTTTAAGTGGGTGAAGTAGGTGATAGTTTTTAACAGCCCCCCGCAAACTCAAGGGGGATAGGAACTAGCCAACTTGAGTTGGGAGAGAGTAACAAAACAAGAAAATAAACGAATACATAAAAGAAAAGAGGATAGGAGACACTGAATGGTCGTGTCAGACTGATGGTGAAGACACTGTATGGTGGTGTCATAACGTTGTAGAGGACACTGGATGGTTGTGTCAGACCGATGTAGAAGACAGTTTATGGGGTCATGTCGGACCGTTGTAGCAGACAATGTTGTGATAGTTGTTGTGACAGTTTACGGAGTCTTGCTGGACCCTTGTAGAAACTAACCGAAATCAATGTCGGGACAGTTTACAGAGTCTTGTCGGACCCATGAAGGAGCTAACCGGAATCAATGCCGGGATAGTTTACAGAGTCTTGTCGAATCCATGAAGGAGCTAACCGGAATCAATGTCGGGACAGTTTACAGAGTCTTGTCGGACCCATGAAGGAGCTAACCGGAATCAATGTCGGGACAGCTTACAGAGTCTTGTTGGACCCTTGAAAAGTCGCACCCTCAAAAGGTGTGCCCAATCTATCAAAAGGTGTGCCATCAAAAGGCGTGCCCAATCCATAAAAAGGCGTGCCATCAAAAGGTGTGTCCAGGTTGGCGTCGAGCGCCGAGCGGCGAATGATGCGCGTGGCTGTCTTGGCTATTTAACAAAGGTTGATGCTGAGGCTGAGGCAGACAAAAAACTTCTGAAAAAATATATTCCTTCTTCCTCATATTTTCGGAGTTCTTCTTCCTCATATTTTCTAAGTCTTTATAAACTGAGGCGGAGGCTGTGCTTGAGGCAGATGTGAAGACAAAAAAACTTTGTGAAAAAACTTTTGAAAAAACTCTTCATTTTTCTGAGAGAGATATTCGTTTTCTGAGAGATTGTCTCTAAGAGCTGTAAATCTTGAAACACTCTGTAATACTCGGTTGCCCAAAAAAATGGCCTCTTCGTCCCGTAGTCTGCTCACTCTCTTTCCAGACCTCAACGAGTCAACAAGAGAGATAACCGGTGCGGTGGCCCTGGAACCTCAACCAAGCGCCTCTGGTTTTGCTCCGTTGAACTTTCCGATGCGGTCGGTGGAGCAAAAAATGGCGGTGCAAACTGATATTGAGGCCAATCAGTATACTTTGAAGTCATGTGTGGAAACCATGACGGCGGTCACAAACTTGTCGCACCGGCTGCAAAGTAGAACAAATGAGGTGCAGCAGCTAAACCCCCAACTGGCTCTGCTCCAACGCATGTATAAGGATGCGCGAGCAGAGATAAGTGTGCTAAAGGTGGAAAACAAGGAGCTGAAACGGAAGGCCACCGTGATGTTCCGATTTGGAGGGCCGCCATATGCTGCAGTGGAGGAGCAGGGAGTAGTGATCATGCCCAGTGGACGGAGGCAAGAGGAAAAGACCGGCGGCAGAGTAGAGAAGAAAAAAATCCCACCTGTGAATGTGGTTGTTTGTTTGTATTTTATTTTATTTTATTATTATTTTTTTGTTGTGTAAAATTGTGATCGGGGTTGATCCCTGAGATGAATAAAATATGGTTTGGTGTGCAAAGCTAGATGGTATGAATGGAATTGGAAAAAGATTAAAAATAATGTGAAAGAAAAATAAAGAAAGAAATAATAAAAATATATTTGAAATAAAAAATGAAAGATGGGGGAAAGAAGGAAAGTGGTTTGGAGAAAATAAAAAATAATGGAGTTTGAAATCAAACGGAGGAGAGAGGATGATGTTTGTTTGTTTGTTTTTTTTTTTTTTTTTTTTTTAAGATAAAAAATTGGGCGGTGGAAAATGTGATGATGGTGTTGTGTGGAGGCATATACTTGCGTTATTTGAAAAACAAAAGGTAGTGGACGTTAATATTAAAATAAAAAGAAAGGATGTGCGAGCTGGTGTATGCATGTGCTGTGTGCATGGTGGAGCAGTGTGCATATCAGTGTGGGTATTGTTTATTTTATTTTATTTTATTTGTTTTTGTCAAAGCTGCAGAGAGAGTGAGAGAAGGAAAGAAGGAAGCCAACATGACTTCTTGAATCTGCAACACTTAGAAAATATGAGGAAGAAGAACTCCGAAAATATGAGGAAGAAGGAATATATTTCTGTTATATTCAAAACTTCTTATTTTACAAGACCAAATGACACTCCTTATATAGGATGCACATGGGTTGGTATGTGGAATAGCTCCTGGACCTACAGGGATGTCAAAAAGGTGCACATGGGTTGTAAAGTAAGTGGAAACATGGGTGCAAAAGAACTACTAGCATCCCGCATCTCAGCTGGTAACACACGGAAGATGAAATCCTCTGATAATTTATCTCTTCTCTCCCTATTGTATAAACAAATTGTACCATAAAATGGCTTAACTAGCCCTGCTTGAAAAGATCAGGATAAGACTTTCACAGAGATCTTCAATCCACTGCCATACTGTGCCGTATGAGCTTTTGGATTCCGTTGCCCAAATATCATCGATCTCTCATTTTCCCAGTCAAACACAGGTTCATAAGCAGGGAGAGGAGACTCACCCAGATGCTTTGAAACTCTTGAATGCGATGAATCAGAGAAGGTAGCATCTGCAATCTTAGAGAGTCATTTGCCTGGGCCATTGTTCCACTATTCGATAACAGCATTGGAATGCGATGAATCAGAGAAGGTAGCATCTGCAAATTTTAGAGAGTCATTTGCCTGGGCCATTGTTCCACTATTCGATAACAGCATTGCTGCAGCTTCTGGTGGGTCAGCTTCTCCCAGTAGTCCTCTGGCTCCTAGCATCTCTGGGTCAAGTTCCCATGATGGTGTTTCCAAATCAAGTGCAAATATTGCATTAGATGGGAAGCCTAGTTACTCGAGTGGAAGCTCTGTTGTTGTCGAAATATCAAACTTGAACAAAGAAAAAGTATAGGTTGGACAGAGGATATCACAGTATAGAGGTGTCACAAGGCATAGATGGACTGGTAGATATGAAGCCCATCTATGGGACAACAGTTGTAAGAAAGTTGGAAGATGCAGGAAAGTAAAGGTATGTGTACAAAATTCCAGCGGGCAGCGAAGGCAAGGTTGCCGGCCGGCTGCCCGCCGGTGAGAAAACAAAATACGGGCCTAAATCTTATGGCTCTGATACCATGTAGAAATTTAATGTATAAAGAGAAATAGAGAATTGTATTATTGATTGATATAATGTTATTGATATCTATTACAATGATACAAGGATTTCCTTTCTCGATCGCTTTCTTGACTTTGAGTTTCTCGGCTTTCTCTTCCTTCTCGCACTTCTTCGATTGACGTTGGAGGCTCTTCGAGAGGCTGTGCTTTGGCGAGGTATGTGTAAAAAAAATCTTAGCGGACTAGGTTGAGGTCCGGCGGACGGCTAAGGTGAGGTTGCCGCCCGCCGGTGAAGCGAAAAATACTAGGTGCTAAACCTGCTCTGATACCATGTTAAAATTGAAATATTATTGATTTATGTATGTTGTATATTACAAATGGTGAGGGGCTCATTATATAGGAGATGTAGTGGAGTAGGTGGTAGTAGGTGGTAGTGGTAGGTGTGTAGTAGGTGGTAGTAGGTGGTGGTAGGTGTAGTAGGTGGAGTAGGTGTAGTGGTAGGTTTTGGTACATTTTAACATATAGGAATCATTGTAATATATCAAAATATCAATCAATAATACATCTATTTTTACAATACCTCTTGAATAGCCCTCCAAGATGAGCTGTTTTTCCTGTGAGGCTTTGGGTGAACCACCTTTGAATGGTTAATCCACAAATCCTCTGGTTTCTGAAGATTAGTATAGAGATAGTCACAATTGTGAACCTATCAATTGTCTAAATTAGTGTTAATGTCTGTCAATTGGACATTACCGAATTGGCATCTGGAAGTTCCCTCACTGCATCATCAACGTTTGTGGCAGTTTCTTTCACCTGAGCATCGGCAAAGATGAATCAAACAAGTCTTCACTCATCATAATAAGACCAGACATGAAGTATTGAATGTATTTTGTGTCCACAAACATGTAAACAAATGATTATGATGTGCAAAGAAATTGGAAGGAAAAAAAAAAAAATCCAATGAAGCATGTAAAGAGGGTTGAGACCTGTTTGGCATTCTTGTTTGCCATTTCCTCAGGGATGCAGTTGTGAAGTGGTTCAACATGTTCACTGCCATCTAATTGTACCCCGATAAAATACTGTACTTCACCCTGTTTAGAAAATAAAAATTAAGAATTATAAGTAATTATTAACTGATTATTCATGTAATGAAGAAGCAATTTCTCTAACTTCTCAAAAAACCACAAGATAATTTATAGCCTTCAGAGATCATTTTTTTTTAAAAAAATAGTACCTTCTGATCCCGCATAGGCTGCAAATGAAACAAATTCCAGAACTTTTTTCCTAGAATGATGTCAGCAAAATTTAGTTAATTCTGGTGGCAAAAAACTATAGTTCAGGCTTTTCATCATAATAAGTAATTGACATATGCAAAACAACCAAACCGTTAGCAAATCACAATGCCGTGCTTAATTTAATCCAAAGCAATTTCAGTTTTGCATTTTATCTTTTTATACCGTTACATACCATACGACAAACTCAGGAAGAAATAAAATTTGAAGTTCAGATTCATAACGTATATTGTGTGCCTCACATTTCCATACTAAATTATGAGTAGAATTTACAAATTGAAAATCATAAGCATATATATACCACTTTTGGTGTAGTTAATAAGCTGCACGGTGACCTCTGTTTGGTTATCAATTGCTTGTCTAATTTTCCTCACAGTAGCTGGATCAGTTTCGGGACCTTGAAGAAATCTAGTCAAGTTCAAACAAGCAGACACAGATCAGAACACAAAATAAAAAAACTGAAACTTAGGCATTTCCAAATGTTGTTTTTGATTATGTAACCATTGTTAGCTTCCATTTTCATAAACCATTATAACACCTAAAATTTGAAATGTGTAGATCAAAAAATTCAGACATCAATTTTAAATCTACACCACATATTTAAATTCTTGCTACTTTTTGTAAATCTAAAACACGAATTCAATCAAGCCACGCCAACATGTGATTAATTTCGTCCAAATAAGTACTGAAATCTCGATTCTTACCTGCAATTTCTTCCTAATATTTCTTCACGACAGTACTCAGTTAGCTCCAAGAAGCTATCCGATGCAAATATCTGAAAATTCACACGAGACACAATTCTTTTCCTATGAATTGCTCACATTATAAAGTGACAAGGTCAGCTTGGAAGATGATTAATATTTTGAGCTACAAGCCTTACAATGGGATTATCAGGTAGCCTTGGATCAGTAATGACAAAATTTTTCTCGATACGTTCAAGTGTTGTAGCAAGATCGATGCCTTTTCTCATCTCCTTCTTCCTCACTTTGTCGTCCAAACTGTCTGGCCGCCCATCATCATCACACTCATCATCATCGTCAACCATAACAACTCCAACATCAAATTCTTCACTGTTGGGATGACTTTTCTTTGGAATCCTAAACATACAAAAAGTACTTCATGTATAAGCAATGTGTAGAAAAATGCAACAATAATGCTGTGTTTTTTCCTAAATTTTAAAATAAATTTGTGTAATTTAACCCAGGAAAAAAAATTTATTTGCAAAGGCATTTTTTTATCTACAGAAAATTCATCCAAAACAATAGTAACATTTTTAAAATTATGAGTCACAGCAGTGAGTGTTTTAATAACAGACATAGTAACACGTACGACATGAAAGAACGAAATTTATTCTCTTTCTTTTCTGGCAACTCGCTGATTTTCTGCATGGATGCTTTGGTACCAGCAACTGAATGCCGTCTCGGGAGAGGTGCCATATTCTCCAAATTTTGCCCCCTTAGGGCTTCTGATCTTTCCTGTTCACTGCCACCTTCTGATCTTCTCATGGTGGGACGGTTTGTTGATTCACTGAGTGCCCGCGGTCTCTTCACCGCCTGCACTAGCTCAGTTACTGAACTAGCAGCCATCTCTTTCTGCCGGGCTGCAAAATTAATTAGAAGATGTAAACATTATATTAAACTCATTCAGCCTAGAAGATTAATTTTAAAAAAATATTTATAATTACAGATTAGAAGACAGATTTTTTTTTTTTTTGAAAATGCCTAGAAGATAGCTAAAGAGTGAGAGCTTTGGCGCAGTGGTAAGATTGGTGTCATAGATTTGAAACATAAAAACAGTCTCTAAAGTTGAGTAGTGGCGGAAACATTATGCCACGGACTGCCTTTTAGTTAGATAGAAATCAAACATAGAATTCAATATGGAAAGCACATGAATGAATAAGATTTTATAAGATCTGTTTATGGGTCCACTTATTAAAAAAGGATTCCAGAATGTCAAGTTGAAATACCATCGTATCGAATCAACGATTCAGGGAGACCGTTGGGACGGGTCATTTTCTCCTTGGAACCCTCCGTGTGCTTGCTCACCTCCACTTGCATTCTACAAATTAAATATGCATAAATTAAATACCAACTTAATTACTACAAATAATATTCATTTCATTTATGATATGATTAAAATATAAAAATTAAAAAAAAAAAAAACTTCACAAATTATAATATTATAATTTATAAGTTTCCTTGCTAACACTTAAATTTCTCACATTCTTTAAACAAAGATGGGTCACAATGGAATGATCCCCACTCTAGAGAACTAATCCCAAAAAATCAACTTTAAGACTATAATATATGATCATAAGGCTCTATTTAAAATATTTAAAAAATTAAAATTATTTTTAGATGATATTATTTTTAAAATTTAATATATATATATATATATGATCATCTTACATGGGTTGTATTTGTTTATTTTTGGTCCAGTGTATGAATTTAATTGTACTGATTCTCCTTATAATTGACAAACATATTATGTTTTTTTTTTTTCAGGTGTTGCAAATAGAGCATCATTGACTACTAGTAAGTATAATGTGTTGATGGGTCGGATTTAAGTGAAACATACCATGCGAAATAGACCCCACCCTACATGTTTGCGGGTTTTTTTATTAAACAATATAATGGTCAGGGCTGAACTTAACCCTATCCACATGAGAAACAACCAAGACGCCCCACACTACCATCTTCTCTCTTTTTTGGGTTATTAAGAGGGGCCACATTCCATTAATATATCAATGTAATGACAAAGAACCAATAATAAAATGATCAAAAAACCCAGTTTAGCAAAACCAACTGTAACAATAATTGGAAATAGACAACAGACTTGCTGGTAAATAGTGCTATATTCTTCCAACAATTTTAAGAATTGTGAAAAATTACTCATAATTTTATCTTGAAAGTGAAGTGTAAAATGTAGATTTAATATCAGTATTGTGGGTGTGTTTGGATCGTGAAAAAAAATTTAAATCCTTTTTTTGAGTACACAAGACAACTGGCATTCTTCCCCCATGATCAAGGAACAAACAAAAGCAGAGACACATGGCCAACACTATCCAGCACTAAATCTACAAATTGTAAAGTATAGGGGCTGATGGTCCAATTGTTGCATCAAGACAAAATATTTCAATCTATGCTCTACTTATTACGTGGATATATCAAGAAAGAGGCCATTACGAACTATTTGGACGAGCTCTTCTACTCTAGGTCAAGTTTTCTTTTGGTTATAAAATTTATTCGGGGAGAGATCCAGTTTCATGAAGTAGTGAATGGTCTTATCAACACAAAAATGTTTTAACTCTTCAAAATTTTCAATGGCTCTCATATTATCATTGTAGTAATTAGGTTCAAGCTTTTCTCAAACCCTTATTTATCAATGATGGTCTGAAGGGGCAGTTGGGGCAACGACTACAAAAATTTTGAAAAATCCTTTTAATACAATAGTACTAGTTAAGAATATTTTTAAATTATATTTTAAAGATTTTAATAAAAAATAAAATATAGTTAAGAATATTTTTAAATTATATTTTAAAGATTTTAATAAAAAATAAAATAAAACATGAATAATATTGTATGGCCCATCAAGTTAAAGTCTTGCATGCATCCTTGGATTGCATGAAACCATTAGTGGAAGGCTAAAAAAATTGTCATAGATTTCAAATAAAATCCCTCAGAACAAAAAAAAAAAACTAAAAATCACAATCAATGAAATTCTTTCGAGTTATCATAATAAATCCCAAAGATAATACATATTTAATGATATTATTTCAGTCTAAGAATTGAAAAAATAAAAATATTACATGCTAAAGTATTAGTGTTGCTCTATTTTCTCTCGCAAAAAATATTTATAAATTCTTGTAAAATAAGTTCAAAACATTAGTATTTTGATGTATGACATTAATAGAATCCTATGCATTATTGAGAGAGAGAGAGAGATTTGTATGCATATAATGATATGTAAGAGTGTGTGTTTGAGGGAGACAATTGAAAAGAAAGAGACTAACCCAATAAATTTGAGGACTTTCCCAGTATCATCCTTGATAGGTGAAATTGTGAGGAGGTTCCAAAAGGGTGACCCATCTTTCTTGTAATTGAGCAACCTCCCACAGTAATTAGTCCCCAATTTCAAGGCTTCCCGGATCTTTGCCACATCTTCTGGGTCCGTACCTATACCCTGTAAAAATCGACTGCACCCGCACCAACATATAAAATGTCTTAAATACCCCTCACAAGGCTAATGTCTTAATACCTCTAATAAAGATTGTCATGACAATTAAATGTGACAAACTCAATGATGAGTCCTACCAATTCCTCCCTATGACTTCTTTTGATGTGTAACCAGTCATATTAGAGAACCCGGTGCTAGCATAAATAATTGGGTAATCAGGTTTGGTTGCATCAACAACCACAAATGTTTGTTGAAATGTCGATAATGCATCCTTTAAGCCTTCAGACATTTTAGGAAACGCTCCCTCTTTTCCTAGCATAGAAACACAACAAATCAAATTATGACCAATTTCTTAATTTTATCATCTTGCATTTATTAATGAGAGTAAAATAGTTATTATTATACAATGAGAATTTCGCAGCAAACTATCTACACAAAATGATTAAATGCTTGCACTTTGAAAAAATTACAATTTTGAATAATAACGGGAATAATATACTCCTTTCTTTAACCTCTCAATTGTGATGACAAAATAAGTGTGAATACAATTTCTCATAATCAATTATCCTTATGGCTTTATATACTAATTCTATAAATAAATAAATAAAATGTATTTTTATCATATTTTTTAGGAAAAATTTCACATCAATGTATAACTTCAAAAATAATTACAAATTAATGATAAACTTTATCAATATTAATAATAAAAATTATAAAAATTTTCATACATATGCAATAATTTCTTCAAATTACCACTGAGGGGTAATTTTCCTTTTTTTTAAAAAACTAATTGATAGCTAGTGAATTTTACAAACAGCACTTGTCTAGTAAGTTAAAAATGTGACAAGAAGATAGGTGGTGGGTATGGGACATTTAACTTCTTCTTTTTTTTAAATTTATTTTATTATTATTTTTAAAAAAAGTATCAATATTAATTGAAAAATCAATTGTTGATAACATCTTAATGCTATAAAAACAAAATTTGTACATAATAATTTCATGATGCATATTATTTCCATTCATTCATTAATTTTTTTTATCTGATTTATAATTATAATAATATTATTGTCACATCATTTTATATGAATTTTTTTATATAAAAATTATGTCAATTTAGGATTTTATTTTTATGAGAGACTTACGTGTAAATCCTAATAGGTGAACTTATTGTTTAATAGGTCCTATGATAATTAATGATGTTTTTCATCAAACACTATTAAAAAATATCACTAATTGTTAATTTTCAATGACAATTTAAAAATTTTGCCACAAAAAATCACTAATTATAAATTTTAACAACAATTTAAAAAAATCGTCACAAAAAAGTCTAATTTTCAACTTTCACAAATATTATACTTTTTAAGTATATTTATGTTAGGTATATCTAAAAATTAAAAAAATTTGCTTAAAATATTAAAAAAATTCAGTAAAAATAAAAAAAAATGCGGAAAACAAAAAATTTCAATTTTCTGAAAAATAAATCCTAAAAATTCAAACCAAACAATCTGATTAATATTAATAGAAAGATCAATTGTTGATAATATCTTAATGCTATAAAAACAAAATTTGTACATAATAATTTCATGATGATATTATTTATATTAATTCATTAAAAAAATTAATACTATACGATTTAAATTATAATAATATTTTTTGTATGACCTTTTTATATAAAAATTATTTGGATTTAGTAATTTTATTTTTATTTGTTGATTGAGGAATACCTGATCCATCATCGGACACATCACCGGAGCTCCGCATAGAGTCACCCGAGTCATTTGTAGAGCTCCCGGGTCTGTGAATCGGGTCATCCCCGGAAGTTCTGGCCTTCACCACCTGTGGCTTTCCAGTTTCAGTGTCCGTCTTCAGTACCAATCCCCACTCCGCCGCCCTTTTCGCCGCCATTCCGAATTCGCCCGACACCTTCGTCTTCCCACTCGATTTCTGACAGCTATTATCGGAATCGCCGACGATGTCAGAGGCAGTCAGCGGCGGAGAAGAAGGGTCCTTGAGGGCCATCCATGAGGTGATTTGGTCAGAGTTGGAAGAGAGATTGGGCTGGTCAAGTGGGTTTAGCCAGGTTTTCCAGGTGGTCTGTTGTCGTTGTTGTGATTGTGATTGTGAGGCAGAGGAGGAGGATGATGATGATGATGATGGGTTGAAGACTTCAAGGGAGATGCGTGAGTTTCTGGGTATTTGCGATTGGTTGCTTCTGCTTCTTCTTCCATGGTCTGATGGTTCCATATCTATCTCTGTATGATTAAATTACATCACATTCACATATATACAAAAGCTTGACATGTAAGTAATTGTGATTGGCATATTGTCGTCGTGGATGATGCTCTCTGTTGGTGGTGGCGCACAGAGTTGCACAGTGAACATTGTTCATAGAGACATTTTTAGGTGGTTGAAGTGGGGACATCACACTGAGGTGGTGTTTGGCAAGTGGGTTGGGGCTAAAATAGCCACAAAAGATAAAACAGGTTATTTTAGCCATAACAAATAAAACATCACATCCAACCCATAATCATTACACTCTTCTCTCACAAAAAAAAGTCAAAAAGTCAAAAAGCCAAAAAGTCCTTCCCAAACCAAGCTTTTTAGCCCAGGCTAAAATAGCCAAAAAAGCCAAAAAGCCAACCCACTTCCCAAAAGGAGGCTGAGACTAGTTGGAGTTTGAGATTTTTTTATTTTTTTTAGGGGGGTTAAGTAGGATACTCAATCAGTTTTTACGCACTAAATTAAGTCTTTACAGTCTAATCTAAACAAATCTTTCGAAATAAGATTTCATTCAGTCTATCGGCTCAAGACCTCAACGGTTTTATGGCAGTGGGGAGAATTGAATCTAATACGTATAAAAAAACATATTCTTAAACGTATAAAAATTATAAAAAATAATATAATTTAAAATAAATTAAAAATTGACTTTTGAGTTTTCCAAAACGGGCCCTATGTCAACCTTGAGGTTGACTTTTAAGAGTTAGGAGTGATGTTTTGAAACAGTTTCAATATGATATTGACACTACATTAAGAAATAGGAAAGTTTTTGTTTGTTTATATAGAAGGGCAATGATATTGAAACAAAATTTTGTGTATATATATATATATTTTTTACAATATTGTAACCTTTTATGAGTCTTTCTTTTCAAATAAAAAAAAATCTCATATCCTTTTTTGTAATTTTAAAATTGTCATTATCACATTGTTTTGGACCAATTTATAATTATTATTATTTTTGTACATAAATTGTTTATAGATCTCTTTTTCTTATATGAAAAATGCTACATTTATTAACAATTTGTTCAAATTTTTCTTACAAATTATCGTGTCATGCAATAATAAAATAAGACTATAAAAAAATAATAATAAAAAAAGGTGATAGAAGCCATATCAACTTATAAATAAATAAATAAAAATTTAAATAAGGTTATTTAGCTCACTCAACAAACTTGTGTTAGGCATAATTTGGTAAGCACAGGGACGTGCCTACTGTCACAATCCAAAGTTAAAAATAAAAACAAAAGAATTACCCAAAAAACCCACATAATAATATATTCAATCAATTTTTTGTCACTTTTCTCAACTTGTAAGGCCATCTCCAACGTTTAACCAAATCAATCACCAAATTTAAATTTGGTGAAAAAATACACTTTTTTAGTCTCCAATGATTTCATTAAAACTGTATTCAATTGAGAATATCCTAAATCTTTCACCAAACTGAGGATCTGAATTAGCTTTCACAGTTTACTGTGCGTGTACGTTGGGGGTGCGACCCACCGAACGACCGGCCGGTTGTGCTCCGGTCATCCGGCTAACTGAACAATTCCCAGAACATAGCTATGGTTTGGACTGCGAACTAGCTTGCAAATCATTCAATTGAAATTATCGTCGTTCTTTGCATTCTCTCTCTCTTTGATTTTGGACCCATCGCACTTCTTCATTCATCCAATTCAAGCATTGATAACCCAAAAATCAAGGAATTTTCATTTCAATCTTTAATCTTATTATTTCTCATTTCTCATTTTTCTCTTCAACACAATCCATTCTATTCCTCATAATAACTTTTGTTGTTTCTAAGGCCAAACCTCCATTTTCTCAACCCATCTTCTCTCTCCTTCCTCGTCTTTCTCTGCTCAACTAGCCGCATAAAAATTCGTGTTCTGTACTCTGTTTTTGTCTTTCTTTGTGTTTGTTTTTCACTTTTGTTCTTTTGTGCTTTCTCTTTCTCTCTGATGTGTTGTTTGTAAATTTTCAACTTTTTCAACAATCCATTTGCAAATTCGTTGAGCCATTCACAAATGTGTGTTTTTTTTTTGGGTGACATTTTGTATTTTTTTACCCATATCAAATCATTGGATACCCATTTCCAAAAGAACCGAAATTTCAGCTTTTAATCATCTAGCCTTCAAAATTGACCATTTCATGGTTTCAACACACTGGGGATTCCTACTATGTATGGAACACAGAGCAGAAATTATTTTTTTTTCATTTGCTCTTGCCAGTTGACCGGTCGGACGACCGGCCAGTCGATCCCCCGAACAACTTGTGTTTTGATGATAGGTACAAATTCACCGATGGAGTGACTGATATCAAATAGAAGAATTCGTGGTTTTTTTACTCAGATTTGATGAAATATTTGGTAAACCGTTGAAGATGCCTTAACAAAATTGTAATTATAAATATCTTCAAAATTATGCATTTAGTTTTTTTTTTTTTTTTAAAAAAAATTTAGTATTCACCCACAATTTTTAATATTCAGCATTCATCCCAGAGCACCTCACATTTAGAAGCCTGATTTAGTGCAGTTTATGGGACTAATTATCATCTTTTATTTTGAAATATGTAGTGTAGCGTTTACTTATAACTTATGAAGTAAAAATAACTTATATAAGTTCAAAAAATTCATTATCAAAAAAATAAATAAATAAATAAATGACTTTAAATTTTAACTTCTAAAATTAACTTTCAGCTCGTAAATTTAAACTAAACAGGTCAGGAGGGCAGTTTGGTAAACTGAGACAAGTTAAGTTACTGACTTGCTAAAATAATAAAAACAAGAAAGTAGAAACAGCTAACAGCTGATACTTCAATTCATAACCAAACTACCTACCAAACATTTGTTTAATGGTAGCTCGTTAATTAATTAAAAGCACATCAAACACTCTTTTTATCTATTTGCTGTCTCAGCTTGTGAGAGTGATGGTGAAATACAAAAATAAAATAAACCATTATAACTGAAAAACGAATCTAACATAGAATACTAAAATATAGTTTAATTACTGCATTTGTTTAATCAGTTGCAGTGACTGAGAACAGATCTTTAAGCTATAAAAAGCCCCATTTGAGACAACTTTAGGCCTCATTTGGGATGTAGATTGACTTTTTGACTTGATTATTTTAGTTTGGGACTACAATAACCTCGTTTGAGATGAAATTTTTGATTTTTTTAATTTTTGTAAAAGAAAAAACAAAATGATTATGATTTGAATGTGAGAACTTTTAGTCTGAAACTAAAAATCCTATTTTGTTTTTCAACAATGCTAGGTAGCTCAAAATTTTGTGGCTCAAATCACTCAAAATGACGTGGTTTTGAGTGTAAATGATTATAAAACGACATCGTTTTGACAAATTTGAGCCATTTGAATAACAAAATTTTAAGCTACCAAACTCATGCCAAACTCAACCGCCAAACGACCACTCAGAAGTTTGCATTGGAAAGGACAAATATAAAAATTCAATATTAACAAGGGTTTTCAACTTTTTATGTAAAATCTAATTAGAATAATGCTAAATTTGAGTCACCAAATATATTTTTTATTTATTGAGTCTCACTTTTTTATATTTATACCAATATCCAAATTTTGGGTCAGGATTAATAATTGTCTCAAAATTCATGTCCTCTTGTATTAAGGCACTTTTAATTAGACAATCATATTTACAAATTTTCATATTTCAAGATTTTCGTCATATTGTATAACTAAAAATGCGTTAAGAGAGATAAAAATTTGACTCAGATGAACCATCCACGTGTGGATAGAGCAACCCCTTAATCAAGAACAATAAGAATATGGAAATCATCAGAATTACTGATAAGAATTAGGCTTAATTAGAACCAGAAAGGCATGAATTTCCTCAAAAAAGCCTAACACAAGAATTGGGGTTGGTTTTCATCTCTGATTGATTCTAATAATTTTATGAGCAATATTATACATAATTAGTTTTTTTTTTTACTTAAAACTTTATAGTGAACTCACATTAATAAATACAATTCTAATAATATAAGAAAAATGATACACATGTAACACTGTTTCCTTTTTTGGGTCAACCATGAACACCAAGAAATCAAGAAAGAAGCGCCTGAAATAGAAAGTACCTCAAATGAAGCTGAGCTTGCTGAATTGAATTTGTTGGTCCCCTGCCTTGTCTCTACCCGACCGCTTCAACTTTCCAATGAGCAAATGATTTTAGAGAGAAGATGGCCTTGATTGGACATTGAGCAGATCTAGAGAGAGAGAGAGAGAGGTGAATGAATCAGAGAGATCACAGACTTTTTTATGGAGAAAAAAGAGGGCTAGAAAGAAAAAAGAAGATGAGAATGATTGTCGTAAAGGGTAAGACTCCCATGACTGTACACAACAACAATAAACATGTTTCTTCTAATGCTTAAAAAAGCATTTTCAGCAAACAAACAACCCTTTATTTTTTTCCTGAATCAAAATCACTTTACCTCCACTGGATTTCTCTTGTACAGAGGGAAATTGATTGGCAATAAGAAAAGCTAACAGAAGAAGAAGAAGAAGAAACAATCTTCCAAAAAAGCAGTTTGGAGTATGGAAGGCTCTTTACAGACCTGCTTGACTTCCTTACAACGCTTCTCGTGTCTCTCCCCTGTCCTCTCACCAGTGACATAAAAAAAAGGCCTAATTTATTAAGCTTGAAACATTGGCCTGGTTTGTTTTTCAGAAAAAATTTTAGGAAGAATGTTTTACAAATGAATTTTTAAGAGTAATTAAGTTAAATAAAATTTTTCAAATAAATTTTAAAATTTTGTTTGATTACTTATTTTTTAAAATTATTCTTTCTTTATTACATATCAAATCAATCATTTTTTTTAAAACTCTTTCCTAAAATAATTTTTCAAAATCATTTTTGAAAAAAAACAAACTAAATAATTTTTTATATTTTTTATCTCAAAAACTACTCTACAAATACAAATCAAACACACCTATTATTTTAATAATTTTAAAATTTCTTAGTTAAAATATGAAATAAAAAAAATTAATGATCTTGTTTAGTTTGTTTTTTAGAGTGTAATTTTGAAGAAAAAAAATTTAAAATTTTGTTTGGTTTAGTGATTTTGAAATTTTTTTTCCAAAATCACTTTCTCTCTCATACACATCAATCAATCACTTTTTCTCTTTCCTCTCTCTTTTTCAATTACTTTTTCTCTCACACACATCTACTCAACTAAGGGGTTGTTTGGGATGTCCTAAATAAGTGTACTTTTTGACTTTTTGGACTAAAAAGTTGAGGGAAAAAATATGGTTGTTTGGGTTCGCTTTTTGACTTTTATGAAAAAATGTGTATTAAAAAATTGTATAAATTAGTGTGTAGGGGAAAATTAGAATTGAGAGTTGTGCAACCGTACTTTTTGACTTTTAGTGAATAGTGATAACTTTTTAACTTTTTGAGTAACTTTTTGACTTTTTGACTTTTTTCAACTTGTCAAACTTGGCCTAAAACAAAGGCCAAGTTTGGCTATTGTCAAAAAAGTGCACTTATTTCATCTTTTTATCTTTTTTGGGTCACATCAATCAACATCTCCTCTCTACTTTTTCTACACATAATACAAAAAAAGTCAAAAAGTGCACTTATTTAGTCTTCCCAAACTAGGCCAAAATATCAAATCATCTCAAACTCCCATACTCCAAAACTATTTTCAAAATATACAACCAAACAAACAAAAAAAATTTAAACTCTCTCCTCAATTTTTTTTTTTGAAAATTTATCTCCCAAAATCAAACCAAACACACCCAATATCTTTGAAATGGATTTTAAATTTTTTACGAAAGGATGTGCAAAAAATAGAGAGAAAAAAAAATATTTAACTTTTTGGCATAGATTATAGGTCTTTTGATTTTTTTTAATAACTTTTTAATTTTTTAATTAAGGTCAAGTTTGGCAAGTTAAAAAAAAGTCAAAAAGTCAAAAAGTTACTTAAAAAGTTAAAAAGTTATCACTATTTACCAAAAGTCTAAAATTATGGCTGCATAACTCCCAATCCTAATTTTTCCCTCCATATTTATTTATACAATTTTTTAATACATATTTTTCCATAAAAAGTCAAAAAATTAACTCAAACATCTATATTTTTTTCTTTAATTTTTTAATCTAAAAAGATAAAAAATATACTTATTTAGAACATTTTAAATAACCGTAAAACACTCGCATGCTAAACAATTAGTATTTTATAAATATTCTACAAGAAACTTTTTTTTTTTGTTTTTTTTTATTTATTTTATGACCCGACAACCTAAAGAGCAAACCAATTTATAATTCGAGCCTACAAGACACATATCTTGATTATGGTATCTATTAATTTTTTGGCCTACTACTTATAACCATTACCCCTTGGGTTGTAGCAGTTGACTTGGGAGAGAGTCTCACGGTGCTACTACACAACAAATTGGCGTGGGTCCGCCTCACCGTTATGTGGGGCTTGAATTAAATGGAGCTTGTGTTAAGGAATTGATATAAATTTTAGATTACAGTCTCTTATATAGAACAGATAATAGAATTCGTTAGTAATCTAGTCATTGTCATTGTCTTTGCCTTAGACTTGCAGAAAGAATGCGAGGATTTTACTGTAACTAAAAAATAAAAACAAAAATAAAAAATTACAACCATTTATGCTTCTTGTAATTTTTAGTTATAATTTTAATCACGGAGAACATTGAAATGTTCAATCACTGAAATTGTTTGTTCATATCACATTTATAATTGCGAACATTTGTAAGAGGATCAATAATCTTATTTTTCAATGCCTTTATCTTTTTCCATTGCTATATCCTATGGTTTGAAGTGGTTGTAGGACCATTTAAATATCAAATCAAAATGATTTATGAATCTAATAGTATTATAACCCGTAATGATGTGTTTGTAGTTAAGTATTTAATGATATTTGATTATGTCACATAATAATATTGATTATGAATCCAAATTAATAGATTTTTATTTTTATTTTTCTAGATCGAATGACTAAAAGTGATAGTATAAATTAGTATTGAAATATAGATCTTTTGAAATGAATATTAATTGCAAAAGTGATATCTCAACTCCCCGATGTTAATCAATAACTAACAATTGAGTTTCATCAATTAAAAAAATAAAATGAGGGGGTGAAATTATTGGTTGTTTGTTGATTGGATTAGCCTCGTACTATATAAGAATATTTAGGTCAAGTTTGGCATCCTTAAAATAATCTATCTTTTTATCTTTTTATCTTTTTTCCATCACATCATCTCTCTACTTTTCTACACATCTTTTCGTAAAAAGACAAAAAGTACACTTATTTAGCTCATCCCAAACAATCCTTTATAGTCATTTCAAGATGGAGTTAAGTAGATGGTGTCCTCGTAAGGCAAATTGTGCAGCCCACTTGGTGGCTTCTGCTTATTTTCGCAATTCCTTACCCACGAATTGGGTTACCCAACCACCTATAGGTCTTGTTAGGTGCTTATTTCCCAATTCTATATAATTGTGGTGCTGAGTTTCCCAATCAAAAAAAAAAAAAAACTAGACATTAATAGAGTGGGAATAATCCATTAGACATAATCTATGGGGTTTCAACATTGTTTGTAATTTTTCTTTTATAAATCACAGTTTGGTCAACTGAATAGAGTATATATGGATTTTTAATTTTTTTAAATAAAAATGAGAGTGGGAATAAAATTTTTGTGAATTTAAGGATGTGAAATGCCAAAGGATGAATTAGTAGAACCGTAGTGGAGTCTACAATGCACATGAAATTGTGTGCATCAAGACAACTGGATAGATTTTAGAAATATACATCGTGATAGTCTGTGGGGTGCGTACGATAACTTTACCTTAATTGCAGCCGCAAAGGTTGTGGCAATGTAGGAGGGGTTGGTCTCAAATTTTCAATGACAATGCTGATGACACTACACTAGGTTTACACTAGTTTTTAAATGGGCAAATTACATATATCTCTGTTGAGGTTTAATTAAATTATAGATATTTTTTTTGAGGTTTTGAAAATTATAGATATCTTTTTAGAGTTTATATTTTCATAAAAAATTATTCATTGACGTTTATATTTTCATGACAATTTTTTTCTTAATTTGTTATGCAAATAGCACCTTCAGGAGTATTTGTAATTTCTCAAATCTCAGGGGTATCTGTAATTTTGCTAAATCTCGAGGGGTATATGTAATTTGCCCTTTTTACATTTACGGATATTTTGAAAAATTGGTAAAAATTTGATTTTTTGATTTTTTAGTTTTTTTGTGACTTTTTTTTACAAAAAACTGGATTGTTTTGGATAAAAAAATTGATTTTTTTGACTTAAAAAAGTTAAAAAAAGCTAAAAAACTAAGGTAGCGTTTGGTTGTGTTTTGTAAATATGATTTGAGAGTATGAATTGTATTTTGAGTTTGTGTGTTGTGGAATTATGATTTGAGTGAAGAAAATTTGTTTGGTAAAGAGTTTTGAAAATAATTTTGGAAAAGAGGTTTGATTTGGAGGGGTTGGTCTCAAATTTTCAATGACAATGCTGATGACACTACACTAGGTTTACACTAGTTCTTAAATGGGCAAATTACATATATTTCTGTTGAGGTTTAGTTAAATTATAGATATATTTTTTGGGATTTTGAAAATTATATATATCTTTTTAGAGTTTATATTTTCATAAAAAATTATTCACTGTCGTTTATATTTTCATGACAATTTTTTTTCCTAATTTGTTATGCAAATAGCACCTTCAGGGGTATTTGTAATTTCTCAAATCTCAGGGGTATCTGTAATTTTGCTAAATCTCGAGGGGTATATGTAATTTGCCCTTTTTACATTTAGGGATATTTTGAAAAATTGGTAAAAATTTGATTTTTTGGTTTTTTAGTTTTTTTGTTACTTTTTTTACAAAAAACTGGATTGTTTTGGATAAAAAAATTGATTTTTTTGACTTAAAAAAGTTAAAAAAAGCTAAAAAACAACTTTTTATCCTTGTTACCAAAACGCTCCTTATTTATTTGTTACGAAAGATCATAGTTAGCAATTATCCAGTAGTTGATGGTTAGAGTTAATAGTAATGACTAGCTCTTGATTGTGACTTTTTAGTTAGGTATCGTTTGGAAACATGTTATTTTAGTAACTTTTTAACTTTTTAGTTAAAATATAAGATAAAAAAATTAGTATGTTTGGGATGACTTTTTGACTTTTTACGAAAAGATGTGCAAAAAATAGAGAGAAAATGAAATCTTTAACTTTTAGATATAGATTATAGATTTTTTGATATTTTTAATAATTTTTTGACTTTTAAACTAAAACAGCTACTTACCAAACGAGACATTAACTGTCAAATAATTGTCCGATGAAACAAATGTTGAAGGATGTTTGGAATTTTTATAAGAGCACGAGATATTAGATGTTATTAGATCTAAGCGAAAATTTTTATTTTAACATATAAGGTTGCAATATACCATTAAATTGTCACATTTTATGAGTTTTACGACTTATTAAAATAAAATTGATATTTTTAAAATTTTCACTTTGATATTTGTCAAACCAAATATAAAAAAACATTGTGAAATTTTACTGTGCGAGCTCAGATGAAAGATGTAAAATTGTAAAGTTTGAATTAATTTTTTTTAATAACCAAATATCTAGTCGATAAACTTACACTTACCGTTTAAATTAATGTAATACAGTAAAATTTGAATAGATGAATAAAAATAGTGAAATTCAAAAAAAAAATTGAACAAACAAAATTATTTAAATAGGCCATGTGATAAAAATTCCAAATTGAGCTGTCAAATACTGTCTCAGACACCGGAGAGAAGGTGGAGCCTCACTTCCATTTTTTTTTAATTTTTATTTATTCAAAATTCCATTTCTATTTCTACATGATGATGATGAATGACAAAAAGAAATTTGAAAATTGGATTACCTAAATATGGGGGTTTGGGCCCAGGCCCACGTGAACTATGCCCTTTTTTTCTTATCTGTTCACGGCCTATGGTGGTGACTTGGTAAGGGTCACATCGATCGGACCACTACCCCAACATGTTGTTGGTTTTCCTAAAAGTATCACCATTTCCACGGTACACCCTTGGGGGTGTCTGGCAAGTGGGTTGAGGAGTGAAAATAGTCTTAGGCTTGGTTTGGAACTGAGTTGATTTTTTTAATTATTTTAATTTAAGATTAAAATGTTTAATTTTAAAAAAGTTTTTAACTTTTAAATTTTTTGATATTTCATAAAAAATATATATATAATTATTATAAATTAAATATAATATTTTATTTTATTAAATTAAAAAATTTATTTTATTTTTTTATAACTATTTTAGTCTCAAACAAATGGATAGAGCTAAAAAAAGAGTAAAAAAACATACGCAAACAAAAAGTGATACAGTAGGTTTGCAGTAGTAGGCCTAGGCGATTTTGCTCTTGAGAGTTTTTGAAAGTCACACCAATTATTCAATTATTGGAGGTAATTTTGTTGTTTCTCATCATCACAACATTATTTCAGACATAATTTTTAATATAATAATTAAATAAAAAATTTAATTTACTTTCAAATACAAAAATTAAAATAAGTTACTAAAATAATTAAAAAACTAAATTTTTTTTTAAAAAAATAATAACTTCCTAAACGAGGCCAAGAGAACCAAAAAAATACTTGTCTCCACTTTAAGGCTTTTTTTTTTTTTTTTGTTTTTTTTTTTTGTAAGAACTTAAATTTATATAGAATTTTTAGATGCCATTAATTTTATAGTTTTATGGGTTTTTATTGGTCTGAAAGCTAACAAAAAGTATAAATAAAAAACAAAGTTAAATAAAATTACTGATGAAAATAAAAATAGAAATAAAAGGCGATTTAAATAATCCAAAAAATAACTTAAATTTTTTTGCTAAAACAAATTGGAGTCAAGTTCATAAAGTCATACACACCAAAGTTTAGTTATAGTTTTCCACCCCATATGAATCTTGTCCAAAACTGGTTTCAATTGTTCAGAATCCTAAATGAACTCTTGAAATGAGACTTTTTATACATATTATTAAAAAAAAATACTTTTTTTTGTTTGTTTGTTGTTATTTGTTAATACCTACACAAATTCTACTTACATAATAACTAAAATTCTATACTAAAATTTAGAGGTTCAAAGATACCGCCTTAGTCGCCTAGAGGATTTTTCTTATTGCTTCTTTGAATACATTTGATTAAATTATTAATATATATAGAGAGAGAAAGAGATTTTCTTATCTTTTATCGAAACATTTGGAATACTCAAAACTATGCACTTGTTATTTTATAACCAACATATTAAGCAAATTAAAAGGGTAGTTGCAACTGTTTGGGAAGCAATATACAACTACTATAACACACACACAGAGCGAGAGAGAGAGAGAGAGAGCAAAATATGTAAGTGCTAAAAATATCACAAATATTATGTATTTCTTAGGTAAAAAAAATCCACCTATGATCGCATCTTCTTTTTATTAAACAAAATCAATCAATAAAAAAATATCTCAAAATATAAAAAATAAAATAAAATTACACATGCAAGATGATAAATAGTTTTTTTATTTTTATTTTAAATCATTAATAGTATTTCACAAATATAAGAACAAAATATATCATACTGGAAAGGATAAATTACAAATGCATCTATTGAGATTTGCTTAAAATACAATGTATTTCTTGTGATTCTAGAAATTATATCATGTCCCTTGAAGTTTATAATTTTATAACAATTGACCATTTTTATTAATAAATCATTAAGTCAATTAATAATTTTTAATAATGTCATAAATGTATTTCAATTAATAATTCATATAATTTTATCATTTTATAAGAGAGCATTTAAGAATTTTATTTTTTTTAATTAGTTTTGTTAAATAAAAAAATCTAATTGGAAAATATTTATAATTTTCCAAAGCATAAAGAGCGATTCGTATTTTAGTAAGCTATACTAGAAACTAGTCACAGTAAGCCCGACAATAAGAAGTCCAGCAACGAGCCCATCTCACAGACACTGATTAATCCATTAAGGCCCATTATTTCCCACCTTGAGGCCCAAGTTAAAGAGCCCACATATTTGGCTCTCACCACGACGCGTGTCGTTTCATTTGGCCTCTCAGATGGAAACTTTCTACTACGTTTGGAAAGTAGAAAAAAAAAATTATTTTTTGATTTTTTTAAATTATTTTTTGAAAAGTTTAAAAATAAAAAAAATAGATAGTGGGAGTCACTTCCCAATTTTTAACCCACTTCTCTCCCTCACAAAAAAAATTTAAAAAAAAATTAAAAAGTAACTTTTAATCATTTTTTTAAAATATCCCACTGATATAATCAAATAAACATATTAGCCAATAAACTACTAGTTATAAAAAGAAAATTTTATATTATTATACATGTTCGAAGTTCTAATCAATCATAATTTATTTTACTCTTTTATATTTTTCAATCAATCAACCTAACATATTACTTATTAATTTTTTTTTATTAATTATATATTATAAAATAAATATATTCTTATTAATTTTTTTTATTAATTATAATATTATAAAATAAATATATTCTGAAATTATTAAATAATTATCCGTTACAAAAAGGCAGCAGCAAGAGAAGCAAGTGAAGCACCTCTCTCTCTCTCTCTCTCTCTCTCTCTCTATCTAAAAAGAGAACAAAAATGAGTGCTTCATACACAAACCCAGTCTCACCCTTTCACTGTACCACTACTGATAATAATGTAAAACAAATACAAAATTCAATTCAATTAAAGATAGTCCCCAATCCCAAATTCACAAACAATTCTATGCCATTTCAAGCAATTTGCTTTCGCAAGCCTCCTCCTCGTTTCTCTTCCATGGAAGCCAGGGCATCTCCAACACCATCCATGCCCAAAACGTACTTTTTCTAGATTTTTATGTGTCTTTTATGATATTTATGTAATCTGATCTTTAATTGTTGAAGTGGGTTTTGTTTTGTGAATTTTTTTTTTTTTCTTCTTCCTCAATTGTGTGGGTCATATTCATATACAACAAATACAGCTTTGTATAATATTGGCATTTGGCAGGGTTGGTGGTGATGCTGAGGAAGTTCTTCCCCCTATTCTTGATTCTAGCTCTGACCCACCACCTCTTTTTGATGGAACTACAAGGTTTGCTCATTTTCAAAATCTCACTCTACCTTTATCTCCATTACATGTGTGTTTCTAGTCTATTATATTAAGTGCAGGTGTGAATGCTGTCACGCTTTTCCTTTTTGAATAATTTCTTTTCAATCTAGTAATTGTCACATCTAATAACTCCGTTCATCAAATCGTTAGAAAATGCTGATTAATTTTTCTCTTTCATCAAACTATCCGAGAATGTAATATAAAATTACATATGCATCCCACCGTTAGTTTGTATAATTTGTTGGGTAGTGTGAATCCTATAATTAATAGACACTAACCATTCAATTGCGAATTTCAACCATAAATTTGGAGTATGGTTATTATTATTATTTCCGCACTTATGACTTATTGTCCTAATTTTTAAAGAATATATAGTCGAGAGGAGACAATTATCAGTGAAATGACAACAGCCGTAGACATAACCCTAGTTTTGGGGGTGACGTTTGTGTTCTTTGTGTCTCTGTGTGATTTATCATTCATGTGCATTTGTTCTTCTTTTCCATCTTAAGTATGTGTGATTTATTATCTCTCTAGACCCTGCTGTAAAGTGGGTGCTTGTGCATTGGGTACATCCTTTTCTAGTTATGTATAGAACAGCTTTATATGACACATACATTTGTGAGTGGATTAAAATTTATTCTACATTTTAGCAGAATATATTCGAGGTGCAAATTTGTGTGCTAAAACATCAAAACAGATGAAGCACATGATTTGGTTACCAAATTCCACAGGACACACTATCAGTAGCTAAACTTTGAATCATGCCAAGTTAATATGTTACTATCACTGTTTGGAATTTTTTGTTGGTTTTCAATTGGGATACATGTGTGTGTGTGTGTGTGTGTTTTCAAGTTTGTGTGTGTTTCTGCGTGTTCTCGTGCATTATCTGATCACCATGTTCCATTTTTATTTCCTGAAGGTTGTACACCTCTTACATTTGTCCGTATGCGCAGCGTGTTTGGATTGCACGGAATTACAAGGTTGTGTTAAATTTTATGGATATTTTTTTCTGCTCTACTATTTTTTTCTTATTTTCTTTTATTCATGTTACTGCAATTCTTGATTTGAAATTTCTTTACTTCTTTGTGCAGGGTCTGCAAGAGAAGATCAAATTAGTTCCTATTGATCTTCAAAATAGGCCAGATTGGTACAAGGAAAAAGTCTACCCACCAAATAAGGTTACATTCTCAACCATAATTAATTGTTTGGAAAATACTGTTTGGTAATTTCTGTGTTCCTCGTTCTTTTCTTAAAATTGCAGAAATTTATATCTATCAAATGAGGAAAAAATCACAAAATCTATTGAGAGCCCTCTTGTTTCATGGATTATGATATTTGCAGATTCTTTTCTTTTTTCCTTTTCAAAATTAGTAGGTGCCATCACTGGAGCACAATAATGAAATTCGAGGAGAGAGTCTTGATTTGCTAAAATATATTGATAGCTACTTTGAAGGACCAGTTCTTTACCCTGATGTAAGTAGATTTTTCACTCTTGACATAAAATTCAACTCTCTATCGCTTCAAAAATTTGAATTCTAGAGCGTATCAAATGTCTGTAGGATCCCACCAAGAAAGAATTTGCTGAGGAGTTGCTATCCTACACAAACACCTTTAATCTGGCCGTGATCACTTCACTGAAGGGAGGATCTGAAAATGAAATCAGTAAGATTCAAGACGTGCTATGTTTTTTTTTTTGAAGTACTACGATCTAGAAAGAAATTTTACGTTTTATATGAATCATAATGTGACCCGCTCTAATAAACCTTGACAGGTACTGCTTTTGATTACCTCGAATCAGCTCTCTTCAAATTTACTGATGGACCGTTCTTCCTTGGTCAGTTCAGTCTAGTAAGTTAGTTGTACTCTACTAATTTGATATTGGCTTTCCATCTTCACTGTTCTTATATTTAAAATTATTATGTGTTACTTAAACTACAAATGCAGTTGTGTTATGCATTGTAGTCAAAGAAGTGCGAACTAATATATACTTTCCAAGAAGTTGGTGAATATATAGTCAATTTGTAAATTGTAATGGAACCCCTAATCTGTGTCAAAATTTCTATGTTGCAGGTCGACATAGCAGTTCAGTCTAGTAAGTTAGTTGTACTCTACTAATTTGATATTGGCTTTCCATCTTTACTGTTCTTATATTTAAAATTATTATGTATTACTTAAACTACAAATGCAGTTGTGTTATGCATTGTAGTCAAAGAAGTGCGAACTAATATATACTTTCCAAGAAGTTGGTGAATATATAGTCAATTTGTTAATTGTAATGGAACCCCTAATCTGTGTCAAAATTTCTATGTTGCAGGTCGACATTGCATATGCTCCATTCATAGAAAGATTTTATCCCTTATTGCTGGATGTAAAGAAATATGACATCACAACAGGAAGACCTATGCTGACATCATGGATTGAGGTTCATTACCTATCCCTTCCTTTTTGTGCAGAGCTTCTTTTATGTGGATATCAACCAGCAAGCAACAGTAATAGCAATTGCTAACCAATTATCAACTGAGATGCTAAAATATATAGTTCATTTGCCTGTAACTAGGTTGCTTTTTGAGTATACATTACTGAATTTTGGATTTTGGACGTCACAGTATGCATCCTGAGTTATTTTACTATAGCAATGAGAGAGAGAGAGAGAGAGAGAACTATATCTCCCTACTAATGTGAACTCTGACTCAATTAGGGCAGTATTATTAAGAGGGAGAGACAGGCTTAGATTGTTTGGTCATATGCAGAAAACACTGGCATTACCAAGTATAGGGGGCATATTAGATTGAGTGCTTCAAAGGGAAAGGAAAGATTAATTGGATGCTCACAATAAAAATAGAGTTATTTCTAGTTCAAAAGATTGTCCTTTTCAAGTTAGTAACACAACTGGACTCGATTCAAAGTCTTGGCATTCACGATAACTAATTATTATTTCATCGGGATGTGTTAGTAGATTTTGGCATATCAATATGATAATTGTGAGCTTCAAGCTGACTTTTAACTCCATCTATTATCTAATCATCATTATATTTATGGATAATAGTTTTGATCTTTACACATGCACACCGTGTATAGGAAATGAACGAAATCGAGGCCTACAAACAAACCAAAAGAGATCTTCAGGAGCTTATCGCTGTCTTGAAGAAGCGTTTTTCGGTAATCCTATTTTCATTTCTTAAACTTGATATCATGTTTGAATCAATGAAATAAAACTTTTACATGTACTATACTATCTGAGTTGAAGCTCAAATTGTTGATTTCTTTGGCAGATAAACTGAATTGCTTGGTAATGTGGTGTAGAGTTTCCCCTTCATATCTTCAGCCTTTTGGAAGATATATGGTTATACTGGTAGTTCTTTGTTGCTAGTGATTAAGAATTAAAACTAGGTAACTAGACCATTCCAATTTGGAATATATTTGTAATTTTCCTTTGGTGATGTTATAATTGACTTTGTATATATATATTTGATGGGGTGCATTGGGACCCTGTTGCAACAGAACACTTTCTCAAAGATCATATGAACAGATGGTGATTAATCACATAATTTATCACTCTTCTAATGTTGTCACAAAGTGAATGTTGTTGGCTTTTTTGGATGTCAAATGAGAGCTCAATCATACCATTTTATCTAGTTAAGTAGTCTTTGAATCAAGTCCATTTATTTACTTGTGGTATTTGAAATAAATTTATTGGCACTTTTTCTGTCATGCATAAACAATTTTAGGTTTTAAAAGAGAAATGTTATTTACCACAGGATTTATTTTACTTTTGATTACATGTATCAATGCAAAAAATACTATATGTATATGTTGCACACAACATATTTGAAAAATAGTGAAACTTATCATGCACATGAGAAGCCACATAAAGGGTGAAAGTTTTAATAAAATAATTCAATGATATGTAGCAATCATATTTATAAAAAGGAGAATTGCCTCTTTTACCATCATGGGTCGTATTCCAGTGATTTGAATTGGCTATTTTGTGATTTTTTAGGGAGATTATTCATAAAAAATTAAATTGATTTTCATCATATGCGTCTTTTTTATTTATTTAGATTGGATCATATTCTTCTTAGAATTTTTTGTTTTTTGAATCTCAAAATTTATGAATAATACCTGTGTGTGCTGAATTATTTAAGATCTTAATCTTTGATTTGTTAGCTAGATACAAACCATATTACTATAAAAGAGATCTTTGATTTGAAAAACTATATTCCTATAAAAGTCATATGATATAAAACATAATTTTACAGAGAATAATGTGACGTTATACAATCTCTTCATTTTTAATCAAAAAAATTCACTATTGTCATCATAATCTCAACAATTTCATTGATATTGTTTTATGTAAAAATAATATTACAATTTCATAAAAATTATTCAAAAAAGTAAGCTTGCGTTTGGTTCTCTTTTAGAATTATGATTCTAATTAAAAAATTTCAAAACTCATAACTAAATACACAATTCAAAATTCAATTCAAAAATTATTTTCGAAACTCATTACCAAACACCCAACTCAAAACTCTTTTTAAAACTTCAAAACTCTATTTATAAAAAAAAAAAATTCAAAAAACGATTTTTTTATTTTGTTCTTTAAAATTATTTTTAGAATCATGATTTCAGTATTGTAACAACCCTCATACTGATTACTGATTAATGACTGATTGATTACCGATTACTGCTAAACGGAACTGATAATGACTGATAACTGACTGATAATTGAACTGATTAAAGTACTGAACTGACTGATCTGAAAAGAGAAAATTTGTTTGGTTATAAGTTTTGAAAAGAGTTTTGAGCTGTATTTTGAGTTTTGAGTTGTATTTTGAAAATTTTTGGATTTATTTGTTTTTAAATATTTTAAAAATTTTATTTTTATTTTTTTAGGATAAATATTTTATATTTTAAATATTTATATATTTATTTTAATGTGCATTGTATTTTATACATTTGTATGCTGTTTTTTTTTAATATTTTAAATATATTTCTTAAATATTAAAAAAACTTTAAAAATTAATTTTTTTATTTTAAATATATAATTTTTATTTTAATTATTTTTTATTTTTTATTTTAAATATTTTATTTTATTTTATAAATATTTAATTTTTTAGTTATGTGTTTAGTTACGATTTGAGTGTGGAGTTTTAAAAGTAGTGTGGAGTTTTGAATTATGTGTTTGGTTATGAGTTTTGAAAATAGTTTTTGAATTGAGTTTTGAGTTAAGTGTTTGGTTATGATTTGAGTGTAAAGGTTATGTTTTTAGTTTAAAATATTTACAAAACAAAATAAAATATTTAAAATAAAAAAATTTAAATAAAAACCATATATTTAAAATAAAAAAATAAATCAAAAAACTATTTTTGTTCTTTTACAAAACAAAATAAAATATTTAAAATAAAAAAATTTAAATAAAAACTATATATTTAAAATAAAAAAGATAAAATTTTCTTAAATATTTTTAAAAAATAAATTCAAAAAATTTCAAAATACAACCCAAAATTCAAAAATTAAAAACTCAAGGGTAAATTACAAACACATCCCTAAGATTTACTTAAATTACAAATCACCCCCTATGATTCTAAAAATTATATTATGCCCCTGAGATTTCTAATTTCATAACAAATAGATTATTTTATTAATAAATCATCCAATTAATTAACAATTTTTAATAATGTTAAAATTTTATTTCAATTAATAATTCAGATAATTTTATTATTGTATAGGTGAACAGTTAGGAATTTCACTTTTTCAATTAATTCTGGTAAATAAAAAATTTTAATAGGGAGGTATTTGTAATTTTTTAAACCACATGAGACAATTCGTATTTTAAGAAAATCTCAGAGGATGTATTTGTAATTTACCCAAAACTCAAAATACAATTAAAAATTCTTTTCAAAATTTATAACCAAATAAATTTTTTCTTTTTAAAACTTAATTTACAATTCCATGCTTAAATTATAATTCCAAAACTCAACTAAACTAAAACCTAAATTTATGAACCATATTCACTGTGATGTGACCCATATCATACTCTATGCACTTCACTTTCAAGGTAAGTTTTAAAAATTTTCATGGCACATAGCATTTTTGTGTTTGTATAAACTTTCTATCTGTAAATTATTTTAACTTTCTAGACAAATCGATAATCTGTATTTATTGAAAATCACTTTTGTTCACAAAAAGTATATAAACAAAATATAGTGTATGATTTGTAATGTTTGATGTATTAGGTAGAAATAACTTAAATAAGCTAATTATTTAGAAGTTGAAAAAATGATGCTTTTAACTTATACTTTTTTATTATTAACTTGTAACTGTAAGAATTTTTCCTAAATGTGGCTTAATGTAACTTATGCATAATTATACTAGATTCATCTTATTAAGCAAGATATATGTACATCAATTAGATGGTGACGAATTATTGATGAATACACCTATATATACATAATGTATAAAAGACTAATGGAGATAGTATCAATACATTAAATGTGATAGATTCATCATGAATGAATCTTAGAGATGCATTATGTATCTATTATGAATGTAAAAAATACATTAATCTATCTAATGAGTTCATTAATATAGAAGATGCATTATGTATCATGAATGTAAAAGATACATTAATCTATTTAATGAAGGTCATTGAATGAGTGGATTATTTGATGGGAAGAATATTAGTATAAATAGTGTAAGGTCCCAAACCACACTCTCCATCACAAAATTTAAGTTGTCACCACAAGAAGGCTCTCATCACCTAGAGAGAGAGAGAAGTGGTTTGAAGATCTTAGACAAGTAAAGAACTTGAAGATCAAGGTCTTCTATTCAAAGTTTCTCTTTCTTAAAAGAGGATTTCATACTATCATGGATCAAGGTATGTATACACTTATTTTGTATAGTAGAAATCCATATAATTTTCATGTATAGAATTGAATCCTTAATGGTTTTTAGTTTATGTTTCGCAAAGTTTTCTATCAATTGGTATCAGAACATTGTTCTCAATTCTGATGCATGAAACGTAGAAGTATGAATTTTATTTTATGATGATGTTTTGTGTAACAAGTGCATAACCTTGATTTACACTTGTCCAATTTTATTTTTTATTTTTGGCCAATCTTCTATTTTATTGATATTAAAATAAAAATTGAAAATTATTGAACATGTAGTAATTAAAATAATGTCTTATGTACTTATAATGTTTTGTTACACATCTTATGAGTTGAAACATTGTTGATCAGCCCAACGGAGGTTCAACACTATGTATGTTTGAACAACCGAGCTGATTAGTATTAGCAATAAGTTTTTCTGCTCAACGGTGATAAACTTCTCACGTGCTTTAGTTAATAAAATAAAATAAGAGACATTTAAGTTTTTCTACCCAACGGTGATAAACTCGTTACGGTCTTAATGATTATTTTATTTTATGTTGTTTATTTTTATTAGTCATCTCATTTACTTTTATGAATTGTTAAAATATATTGTTATTCGGCTTAACGGAAGGATAACTTGATTTCGTATCTAACTAATTATGTTTTCTTATGTTTTCTAGTTAGATATATTTAACTTGTGATGTTATTTTTATGACATGTGAAAAGAAGTTTTCTTAATTATATTATGTAATGGATATTATGTGTTTGCAGCATTGAATCCTACTGCAACTAATAGTTACTGGTCTGGTATTAAAGCTTTGAGTGGAACTAATTTTAAGAAATGGAAGGAACAAATTGAAATTGTTTTGAGAATTATGGATTTAGACTATGCATTAAGAGAGCCAACTCCTACAAAGCCTAATGATATAAGTTCTAAGGAACACATGGCTTTATATGAAAAATGAGAACGCTGTAATCGCTTAAGTCTAATGATTATGAAAGACTCAATTACACTTGCAACTCAAGGAGCAATCTCTGTTTTTGAAAGTGCAGTGAGCTATATGAAATCTATTGAAGAACAATTCATTGGAACTTCCAAATCCCTTGCTAGTACTCTCATGATTAAAATGATGACAATGAAATATGATGGTTTGAGTGGTGTTCGTGAACATATCTTAAAGATGAATGACATGGCCTCTCAATTAAAAGAAATAGACATGGAAATTTCTGAAGGTTTTCTTGTTCATTTCATTATGACTTCTCTTCCTGCGCAATTTGGTCCTTTTAAGATCAATTATAATACTTAATTGCCATGTGTGTTCAAGAAGAAGAGAGGCTTAAAGCTGAAAGGCCTAATATGGGTCACCTTACCACCTTGGGTCCAACCAAAAAGGTTTTCAAGAAAGGCAAAAGTAAGAAGAAGAAGAATGCAAATGATGAAACTCACCTGGTTAATGAAGAAAATAAGATTCGATGCCATTTCTGTCAAAAGAAAGGTCACATAAGAAAAGACTGTCCAGGTTTTAAAAGTTGGTTGGACAAGAAAGGTAACACTCAATGCTCTGTGTCATGAATCCTTTTGGTTACATGTTCCACCAAATTCTTGGTGGTTTGACACTGGTGCAAGTATTCACATAACAAATTCCATGTAGGGATACCTTACAAGTCGGAAACTAAATTAAGGAGAACGGACCATTACAGTTG